ACACTGCTCGAGCCGGGAGGGACCCCGGGTGTCGGCAGAGGGTGGTACATGCGTGGCGCGGGCCCCACGGTGCTGCTCACCCCAGGGAGGACGGACGCGCCGACGCAGGCCGCAGGTGAAGCTGACAGGCGCAGCACTGACGAGCAAGCCAGACACTGGTGTGCCTCGGCCAGGAAGTCCCGGGAGGAGTTGTCCACAGGGACAGGGAGCAGGTGAGACACTGGGGTGCGGGGTCAGCGTCTCCTGAGCAGCCTGTCCCGTGGGGAGCTGGGAGAGATCTGGGGTGCGTGCACGTGATGCCCGTGACTGGTCCGCGCGGGAACGCCAGGTGGTGTGTATGTCTGCAAGGCCGCCTCGCAGACGGCACCCACCGTGGCGAGTGAGCGCCCTCCAAGCGCCGCCAAAGTCAGATGAAATTATCATGCCGTGAAGCAAACCCCAAGTGGGCAAGAGAGAAAGTTCTGAGCCAACTGAGGACGCGGCCCAGAGGCCCCCGAGTCCCGGCGCCCCTGCGGTCGGGCCTGGCAGCGCAGCCCACTCCACCCCAGGAAAGAGGCCGCCACTGAGCGCAGGGACTGGCTGCTGGAGGCCTCGTCAGCCGGGGGAGGAGACAGCTCTGGGCTCGGCAAAGCCACCCCTGGGCCTCACGGCCGCTTCGCCAGAGCAAGGACCAAGTGGCTGGACTCTCTTAGCCTGCAAGCCCCTCCCCAGGCCTGGGTGTCCTCCCGCAGCTCCGAGGGCGCAGGGGCTGGGCGGGGCAGATACTCTTCAAGGAGCAAGAAGCAGAATTTCCTTTTCTGGCGCGCACCAATTCGTCTCTGGGGCAGCCGCGTGGTGGGAGGAGACGGCAGGGAAGGCTCAGCGGGGCTCCCCCACACCCCATGACCAGCCCTGGGGCCCGAGGAGGGGGAGCACCTGAGGCTGCGTGTGGCTGGCCGCCCGGCCCCCGCCTGGTCTTGCGGCTACAAGCTCTACACGCTCACTGCCCCGGCCCGGAGAAGCCCCCTGCCAGGAGGCAGTGAGGGGCGGCCGCAGCGGCCGGGCAGGGATTTCCCTGGAAGACCTCGCCGAGCCTGGCCCTCCTGAGCCCGCCGGCCGTGTCAGCCTGTTTGTCTTCGCGCTCCCGGGGAGCCACGTGGTCGCAGGCAGGGCGGCCTGGCCCCGAGGAGGCCTGCAGGAGCTGAGTCACCCAGGCGAGCCTCAGCCGCCGCCCCGGCTGGCCCTGCGCCGGGCGCCCGGAGCCCACCGCTTCCCGGACAGCCACGTCGAATGTCTCATTCTAGAAACTATTTCCTGAGCTCACATGAGGCGCCATGCGCTGCGCCTGCGTCTTCCGCTTGTGCTATCACAGTGACTTCTCAGTCACCCGCTGAGGAAGCACTGCCGCCCTCCCTTCAGCTGAGAGAGCTAAGGCTCAGAGGTCAGGTCATCTGCCAGCATCTGGCATGAGTGGGGGCCATGCCCGGTGGCCGGCATGGCCATTGGCCTCTGCCCTTTGAGGAGGCGGCGGACGTCAAGCCCAGGGAAGGGGCAACCCAGCTGGATGATTTGCGCTAAACAGCGCAGCTGAGAAGGCGACGTGGCGGCGAGGAGCGGGGCTACCTGTGTCCAGTGAAGCCGGCTCCAGAAGCAAAGCTCCCGGGGCCTCTGGGTGCTCTTTGCAGAAAGCGGAGACGTCGGATGTCGCGGGAGCTCCCAGCCTGCCCCGCCACCGGCACCGCCTTGGGAAGCTCCCGTCCATCCGCTGTGGGCCACTCGGCCACTGGGCGCGAGGTGGGCATAGTGAGGGGCAGCACGAGCAGGACTGAGCGGGAGGAGAGAGAAAGCACCCAGGAACCCTCACGCAGGCGCGGCGGGGAAGATGGTGCCGAGGGGAAGGCAGCCACAAGAAGGACTTCTTTAAGAAGTGCGGGGACAAGGGAGAGGGATGGTGACAGAGGGTAGCTTCTAGGGACAGTGCACTGAAGGGAGGGCCTGTTCAGGGCAGGGAAGGCCTCAGCAGTCATGCGCAGCCAGCCAGGAGTTGTTGAATTAAGTGCCCCCAAAGCTAGGTCCACCTCCTAAGCCTCTATTCCCATGAACGTGACCTTATTTGGAAGCAGCATCTTTGGAACAGTGACAAAGATGAGCTGTGCTGCGTTGGCTAGCCCCAAACCCAGTATGGCCAGTGTCCACACAAGAGAAAGTGGCCACAGACACAAAAAGAGGGGAGTCAGCGTGAGAGATGCAGGAGGAGGGCCCTAGGCAGACTGTGGAAAGCATCTGCAGGGCAAGGAGCCCCATGATGGCAATGCAGCCCCAGAGATGCTGGGGAGGGGCAGGGGAGGGCTCCCTGCAGCCTCCGAGGGAGCGCGGCCCGGCAGACACCTTAATTTCCAACTCTTGCCTCCAGAACTCTGCACCCAGTTTGTAGCATTTCTTGTGCAGGTCACAGGACATGGAGGCAGAGAGCAAGCTGTCCGGCCCTAGTTCCTCAGCTCAACACGAAAGCAGATGCAACCTTGTGGTGGGAGCAGGCACCAGGCCTGCCCGCACACAGCCCATCCTCTCCCCTGGGTGGAGGGGCCTGAGGAATCCCTCTGGGGCCTGGTTGCAGGAGACCCCCATCCAACACCCAAGGGAGTGGAACCGTGGCATGTCTGAGCAGGACAGAACACGAGCAGAAGCCTGGGTTTGGGGAGAGGAAGCTTCCAAGCTCCTCTCTGTCTTCAACACAAGCATTTGAGTTCCACTGGGGAAGAAAATGAAGGCTGAGAAGACCGGGAGGAGGGGACAGTAGGGCTGGGTGGGCAGTTTCGCTCACGCCGCTGTCTGTGCTGGCTTCCAACATGTCGGAACCCCTCGCTTGGTGGTTGGTGGCTGACTGCGTAGCAATAGCAGTAAATCCACCTGTACCAGCCCATAAATCTGCCCAAGACAGGAGATGGCTCTGATTTAGTCATGTCTGCATTTAGTCATGTCATGTGCTCAGATATCAGCCAGTTCAGTGGCCAGACCTTCGGAGCTTTGGGACACAGCAAGCTAGGGTGCCCGCCCTGCGCCCACGCAACCTGGCTTGGGTTTCTCAAGCCAACGCAGAATGTCCAGATGCACTTGTGCCAGTTTCCTCCTGAGAGGAGAATATCTAACCTTTATCCTATTACTACTTCCCCCTTTTATAAAGTTAACTTTTATGGCATTGCTTTAAAAGTCAAATAATGTGAAATAATGTTACAACGTTCATGGTAATAAACAGTGGCTGTCACTTCTAATTCCTGCTCCCTTCAGTGGCCGCCTTTCAAGTCTCTTAATTGTTTTTTTCTTTACCTATACATTTTAAGTGAACACGCTCACCCTATTACTTGAGGGCTTTTTTAGTCTACATATGCTATCCAGCCCCAACACACAAACTCAATCTGTCACCCTCGACACCATCTTGACGATTTTCTTACATCGCCATCTTTCACCATATCAATGTTCAGTGTTGACATTATTATGACTTCATAATTGTTGCAACTAAGCCACTTTGGGCACTAAGATGACCTTTTCTTTATTGTGCAACTTTTTGTTTTTCCTGGAGTTAACTATTGCCTCATTTTTTCATATACTTAATATTTTGTATACTACTGACTATTTCCCCAAATTACTGGGAGTCCCTGACTTAACAATGGTTTGATTCACAATTTTTCAACTTCACGATGGTGTGAAAGTGATATGCATTCATCAGAAACCGTACTTTGAATTTTGAATTATGTTTTTCACATTCAGTACAGTATTAAATAAGTCACAGGAGATACTCAATTTTGCCCAACTGGAGGCTAATGGAAGTGTTCTGAGTGTGGTTAAGATAGGTGAGGCTAAGCCATGATATTTAGTAGGTTCGGTATATTAAATGCACTTTTTTTAAAAAGATTTATTTATGTAGGTACACATGAGCTGGGGTACAGGCCAGAGATGTGGGGGGTGAGAGGATTCACCAGAGACAGAGCGGGGAACAGAACAGGCAGAATGATGAAATACACTGCTGAGGGGAACAGCGGGCAAGGCAGGAGACGTCTGCTGCGCCATGTGGGTTGCTCCTTGGCCGGCCGGAGATCGAACTCGTGCTACAGAGGCTGTGGATCACCTCGTAGTGCGGTGCTTAACCCCTTGCACCACCAGGGAGGCCCCAAATGCACTTTTGACTTATAATATTTTTAACTTAATGATGAACTTATCAGGACATAAGCCCATCATACATTAAATATCTGTACCTGATGAAGCTGAAAAACTTCTCTCAACAAAATCATGGACATGAGGTGATCATTGATTTTTTTTTTTTTTTTTTTTTTTTTGTCTCATTATAGACCCTGGAGTTCTTTGTCTTCCTTTGTACCTGGACCAGTCGACGTCTTTGCCTGTGATAACACTCCTCCCAAGAGCGCCTTCTCCTCTGGTGAGGTGAGAATCTCTCTCTTTTTTTTTTTTTTCCTGCTACATTAAGCATATCCTGTGTCCATGCTGGCTCCATCTTTACAGCTGCTGCTGACTTCCTGTCTGTCTTCCAGTAACTTCCTAATAAAGGATGCACATGCGATTCAATTTTTAAACTTTCCATATCTTCCATTTGGTTGTTAGTTTGTATAGATAAAGAATTTCAGGTAAATGATGGTGTAGGAGGTTGAGCGCAGCGCTGTGAAGCTGTCTGCAGCCTCTGCAGCACGAGTTCAATCCCTGCCAGCCGGCGAGAATCCCACATGGCGCAGCAGACCTCTCCTGTCTAGCCCACTGCTCCCCTCAGCAGTGTATTTCAGTCAGTCTGCCTGTTCTGGTCCCCTCTCTGTCTCTGGTGAATCCTCTCACCCTCCCGCATATCTGGCCTGTACCCTGGTTCTAGTATGCATGAATAAATAAATCTTTAAAAAAAAAAGAATTTCAGGTAAAACCTTTTTTTAGGGTTTTGAAGGCATTGCTCCATTATCTTCATTCTGGGTTTTATTCTTTGTCTTTGTGCATTGCTATGAAAGAAAGAGAGCCATCTGCTGCAGCCAAGGGTGAGCTCCCATCTCAACAGTGCTATTAACTGAGAAAACCCAGGCAAGTCACATAACCTCTTTGGCCCTGAAACTCCTCTGCATCTTTAAAACAGAGGGATAAAGGAAGCATTTCCCATGAAATATTCCAGGAAAAAGTAATTGTCAAAAGATTAATGGACGGCAAAAAAAACCCAGCAAAGATGCTCTATCATTAATCATTACAGGAATGCAAATTAAAAACAACGCGGTTCCTCTACACGCCCATGAAATGGCAGCGTCATTGCCGTCACGTCATGACCACTGTTGCTCTTCCTCCTCCTTTCTCCTCCTCACCGTCTTGCGTTATCCAGTGCTGGTGAGGACGGAACACAAAGGAGGTGAAAATCACAGACAAAATGTAACGTGGTGCTTTGGGAAACAGCTTGGCTGTGTCTCATGAAATTAAACAAACACTTACCAAATTACCCAGTAATTCCAATCCCAGGTATTGAGAACAGGTTGTAAAATGTTCTGGAAATCCTGGCAAGAAGAAAAAAACAGGTAGCAGCGATGCAAAATCTACTATCTGCAGGTAAACCAGCCTTTTTAACCCTCTCACTAATGACCAAGGAGCCAGGCAAGGAAAATGTAAGCAACAGGTCCCAGCCTTAGCCCGTACCCCACATTCTTTATAACCGAGGAGATGAAGCCCCAGTGTTGCCTCCTCTGCACACAGAGGACAGCCACACATCTTTAGGTCAAAACCACTTAGAACCACAAGCCCCTTGTTGACAATTAATACATTTCTCACGCCCGTGGCTCACTGCTCTGAACTCTATAAACTACGCCCAAACTTGTGACCGCTGGAACAGTTCTCACAGAGCACAGCCTGTCAACTGCCGCCTGGATTTACGTCGAGTATATCTGGTCAACGCTTTGTTTGTCATTAAGACTGTTATTCTAGCTAACAGTATTTACCCACGAACTGAAAACTAACATGCATCCAAGATTTATACACAGATGTCTGTATTGGCTTTATTCATCGTCTCCCCAAACCAGAGACAGCCCAGATGTCCGTCACTGGGTGGATGGACAAACACTATGGTATGTCAACGGGAAGTTTTCATTGAATGGGAACAAAAAGGATTCAAATTAAAACATTTCTGAGAGTTCTTTACCCAGCAAAGTGTTTCTTATGTTCGTATGTGAAGAGACCAGACAATTCCAAAAATGAGAGTAATTAAGACAGACTTGTCCTATGACAAACTCTAAACCTACTATAATAGTGAGTGAAGAACTGAAACAGGCATATAAATATGGGACAAAATAGGATGTTCTGATATAAGGGAGAAAACTCTGCCATCCCTTGTCTTTTTGGCAAGAGGATTATTTCATGGAAGGGGCTCTGGAGGCTGGTGGAAGCTGCTTTTGATATTTGTATGCAATAAATGTAAAGTGAAGCCCCCTCCCAGCGAGACCTAACCGCCTTACCTCTTTTTAGGGAAGAAGGTAACATCCTCTGCCTGCCTTTTGTTGGCTGTGCCTTCCCCGGTGAACCCCCTGACGCCCTTCCTTCCTCGCCCAAGCCTCCCTTCTCTTAGCTAAGCTGTCCACGGGATGTCTGGCGCCACGGGGGTGAGCTACCCTCCGGGTTCTCTCCTGCGTCTACCGGAGGCAGATGTTTTACTCTTCCCCATATTGTTGGCTTTTTGTCTCATCAATCTCTCCGGTGCTTGTTCGATTATTTGTCAGCCTAGAAGGACCCAGAGGGTCTGGGATGGTTTCCTTTCTGCCCTGACATCACAATGACAAGAGTGAGCTTCTGGTTCATGAAGCAACGTGGACGACACTCCAGAGCACTGTGCTCAGTGAAAGAAGCCAGACAGAGAAAGCTGCACACCGAACGACACCGGGTGGCATCTGGACAGGGCAAAACTGTGGCCACGGGAACCTGTCAGTGGCTGCCGGTCTGGAGCTGGGAGGAGACTGACAGCAAAGGGGAATGGGGGGCATTTGTGGGTGACAGGAAAATTCTGGGTCTTGGTGATAGCAATAGTTACTTAACTGAGTGCATGAGTTAAAACTTCAAGAACTGTCCTGTGAGGCAATGAGGCTCGCTGTCTGCCAATCAGATCCAATAGACGTGATTTTAAAAAAACAGGTTGAGCCAAGTGTCCTCAGGAGACCCCACACCTACCAACTGATCCCTTGAGCGCTGAGTGTCGTCAAGGCCCTGAGAAGTCCTGCAGCCCAAGAGGAGTCACCCTCCAAATCCTGTTCCAGTCGATGCACTATGACAACCGTCAAGCGAGGTGAGCTGGGGCCCCTCAGCACAGAGCCCCTGCGTTCTTTAGGGGCTGGGGCCAACGTCCTCCCTAAGGGGACTCTGGGACATGGCCGTGGAGGTTGGGTTTTGGGTTTCTCTGTGGAGGGCCAGTTTCACTTTCAAGCACTGACTGTCCCAGGAACCCATGGAGGAGGAGGAGGGTCAGACTTGGGGAAAAGCAGCTCCCACAAAGGGGCAGACACTGAGACCCAGGCCTGGGGACAGTACTGGCCCACCCTCGGAGCTCGATGCCAGCGGGGGGCCCCAGCCCCTCACCCCTGGCCTGCGGGCCGCCCACAGTCAGCCCCAGGGCCACGGGACAGAGTGGGAGTCCCGAATTCTGAGCCCCGCCCGCTCTTGGGATCAGCGGGGCAGGGTCACATCCGTGGGGGCGCCCCTGGCCATGGGGGATGACCCGGATGGCCCAGGGGAACCTTCACCCACATTCAGCTGGAAAGGAAGGTGCCGGGCACAGCATGGACGCTTTCTCCCGGGGTTCCCAGACAGCCCCGCCCTCCCACACCACATGGAGGCCGTCCAGGCCGCTGGCTTATCCAGGTGCTAAAAATAGTCCCGACCTGCTGCCAGAGTCAAGACGGTCACATTTCCCACCGGCCACGGCCGACAATGGAGCTCATTGTCATTCACGCCGAGGCCGCAGGGCCTTCCCGTTGGCAGAGGGCAGGGTTCCAAGCCAGGCCGGTGGGCTGGAACTCGCAGCCGCCCAGCACTGTCCAGGGCAGTGGGCGGTGGGGAGCGGCAGCTGACCCGCGGCCCCTCCCGGGAGCCAGCCCGCGGCCGGGGGAGAGTGTCCGCCGGGGCTGCCCGGGGAGTCTTCATTTCACAAGACTAGTTCTTAGTGAAACATCTTGAGTCCTGAAAATATACTGGTTTTCAAAACTTGCCCGAATATGCAATTATTTCAAAAACCAGGGCTGATCTCGCCGCCAGCGGCTCAGCGGGCCGGCTCCACGGCTGACGCAGCCACGCGCTCAGGCTTCCGGGCAGTGAAGTGGGCCGCGTCCCCTCCAGCCCCGGAGGGTCCCTCCTGCTCCTCCCGCTCCGGGCATTGGCCCACCGGCCGGCCGTGGTGCCCCGTCTCCTGGGTCTGCAGCCCTTCTTGCGCCCGAATCCGCCTCCTCCCAAGGACACAGTCACGCTGCACCAGCCCCCACCCCTGTGACCTCGCTTCGACGCCACAACCTGTGAGAAGCCTGGGGGCATGTTCTCATGTCCTGGGGTGGTCCAAACCCCAGCGTGTCTGTTTGGGGGCACAGAGCTACCAGGCGCTGCCGTTCCCCAGCAGAGGAGGTGGGGGGAGGGGCGCGGAGGGGCGGCGCCCAGGCTTCCAGGCTGCCTGCTGCATGTTTGTGGTTTGTAGCAATAAAACCCGCCCCGCTGGGCAGGCATTACCGTGCAAAGCTGGCAGCAGCTGGCGACAGTGCCAGCACCGGGTGGTAGGAATGTCACCTTTTCCTGACTTTCTAGAAAGGATTCAGGTCTAACCTCGGTCCAGCCGCTGTCCAGATCAAGCCCTACAGAGGCAGCAAGGGGGGCACCTTGGAAGAACCAGGCCACCCCGCTGAGCACGCAGCCCTCAGCCTCGGTGCTGACACGCCACCCTCGCCCGGCAGCTCCATGCCAGTACAACCTCGCGCGGCCAAGCCCTGAGCCAGCCAGGGCCCGGGGCCCGACGGATCTGCAGGCAGAGGAAGGGGAGCCGTCTACATTCACTTACGTCATAGTCATGGTCACAGAAACGAGGATGTGACCTTCAGCTCCATTTCCCCTGCAGCCCCCCACCCCCTTCAGGCTCGTGGGTGTGGGGGAGGGGGGGTGCTTGGCGCTGGTCCCTGCCATACCTGCACACCCCCTGGTCGCTCCTACACAGTGGGGGGGGCACTCTCCTGGGGTCCCCAGCTAGGGTTTGGGAAACCCTTAATCTGGGATTTAGGGAAAAACAGATTTAGGAAAAGCAGATTTGGGAAAAGCAACAAACAACAAGCAGGAAACCCTGCTAGACTTTCTTTTCCTTTGAATTTGCCAACTGGATTTCTCTCCAACGTCACGTCTGCTGGATTTTCATTTCCAACAGGGGAACTAGGAGGTTGAACTCGAGTGTCGGATAAACAGTGACGGGATGTACTTATGACAGAAAGGGCTGGCCGGCCCCTCCTGGCTGCACCTCTCCGCTCTCCCAGCGCCGGGCCCCATGTCAGGCGGCTCGTGGGGCATCGAGGGCCGCCCCATCTCCCCGCGCCCCTGGCTGAGCCGCGCTCAGGAGAGAAGGAGAAGCCTGTGCAGAGGGAGACCCAGCAGGCCGCAGGCAGCGGGCTGCGAAGGGTCTCTCCATCCTGTGTAAACCTTCCTGAGTTTTCCGTCTTTCACAGCCCACACGTGTCTCCCAGAAGGCGTCGGGTGACAGTAAACACGGCGCCCTCCGCCCGCACCCGAGTTCGCAAGGGCAAGTGGAGGCGGGAGAGGACTTTGGCAGCCTGGCCCTGGCGCCCATCAATCATTAACCTGCGCGGGGCACCCTCACAGCCGGGGCGTCCTGAGTCCCGGTGGCAGTGCTCCAGCGGGGTGGCCCCACCTGTCTGCTTCCCAGTCCTGCACACCAGCTGGGCACCCCAGGGGCATCCCCCCACACACACCCCCAGGGCGATTCCCCATCATCGGAGAGCTCAGGATCACCCAGGACAGATGAAACCTGGCGCCTGACCCTTGCCGTCCCCAGAGGGGCCCACAAACACCACAACAGCTGGGGTCGGGGGATGCCTGCCAGGATCTTCCGCAGCAAAGCAGCCAGTGCCAGGTTCCTCGAGGGCACTGGAGCCCTCAGATAAGGCCTCCAGCCACTGCCAGGTGCCAACAGATAGGGGCAGAGGTGCCCCCGCGGGACTGAGCCCCCTGCCCTCAGCTCCCGGCCTCAGACAGGGATGGGGGGCCGTGTGTTCCACATGGGGCCGCTCAGGGAGTACCAGGTCCCCCGGCAGCTGGCCCTGGCTCCCAACCCGAGCGGCCCCGTGACGCTGGCCCATGCCCCCAGGCCCCGCGCGGGAGTCGCTCAGAAGGTGCAGGGGTCTCTGGGCAGAGGCTCCCACAGGGGCGACCTTCTCAGTGACAAGTGCTCCCTGCCCCTGGGGACGTCCTGCTCTCCCTGTCCCCAGGCTCGGCTGCCCCAGGGCCTCGGGCTGGTGGGTAGGAAGGTGTCCCCAGGCCTGCCTGGGGGCACGCCCCAAGGCCCTCGGAGGAAACTGAGGCACAGAGCAATGGAGCCACTTCCCGGGGTCAGAACGCAGAGTTAACACAGGTCTCCACTCCCCCTGCAACCCTCCCTCGCCCCGCCTCCTCCCTGCAGCCTCCCCTTCCCTCTGCCCCTGCCCTCCCCCAGCCGTCCCCCACCCTGTCCTCCCTCGCCCTCCCTGCCCACACTCTCCCCCTCCCCCCCACAGTGACCCCTGTCCCAGGGCAGAGACCACGACAGTGTCCTCGCTCAGGCCTGGACTGCAGGCAGAGGGCAGGCTGAGCTGGTGCCTAGGACACATCTGGACCAAGGGCACGTGTGCCTGGGCATGGAGGGAAGGGACAGGCTGTCCAGTGCAGAGCCCACACTCCAAGAGGTCCCCTGTCCCCTTCTGCCTTTTCTTAAATGGCTTAAATGGGGCCTCCCTGGTGGCACAGGGGTTAAGCACAGCACTGTCAAGCTGTCCGCAGCCTCTGCAGGATGAGTTTGATCCCCCGCCAGGGAGCAGCCCACGTGGCGCAGCAGACCTCGCCTGTCTCCCCGCTGCTCCCCTCAGCAGTGGATTTCAGTCAGTCTGCCTGTTCTGCTCCCCACTCTGTCCCTGGTGAGTCCTCTCACCCCCTGCATCTCTGGCCTGTACCCCAGCTCTTGTATGCATAAATAAATAAATCTTAAAAAAAATACACATAGAGTTTCAATGTCCGAAGTGGCCGACGAGCGGTAAGAAGTCACCGAGGGCCCGGACAGGGTTGCGTGATGAAGGAGCTACAAGAAGAGACGCCCCGGCACTGCCCCTGCCCCCTGCCTTGGCTGTTCTCCTGAGGACGTGGAGCCTGAGGCCTGCGGCCACTTGCCCCACAGGCAGCCAGGAAACCTCTTCCTCTCAGAGCCCTTCCAGATATCACCAGGCCATTGACAGTGTCATTTCCCCCCACACACCCCCAAACTGGCAAATCTGTTTTTATGACCCAAAGCATCATACCGTGGCCAGATAAGCAAGGCTCTCACGCAGACGTGCAAAGGTCCAGCACACTGTCCGTGCTTACTCACCAGGCCTTTGGCTGTGAGGCTTGGCCTGACACCTTCACACCATAACGAGGAGCCATAAATGAAGACTTTGCTCCTGATATTTCCTCACCTCCCATCCCACAGGGTCACAGCCTCCCATCTATGATGATTCCGGTTGCCGTGGAGACAGGACACCTGCAGGAGGTGGTGCTTCCATAGGGTCCAAGGCCTGTTCCGGGGACAGGGAGTAGAGGTGCAGCCAGGGCCGAGTCCCTAAGAGCCTAATTATCACTGCTCACACACATTTATCTAGTCCCTAACTCTTTCCCCAAGGGCAGGGGACAAGCCTGCCCAGGGTCACCCTCCTGGCCTTGCTGACACTGCACCTCAGCCAGGAAGGCCTCCAGGCAAAGCCACCTGGCCATGCATCCCCTCCCCGGGCACAGGAGGGCACCGACTCAGCACCCAGGAGCACAGGCAGCCTTCCGGGAGAGGAGGGAGCCGCACCCAAGCTCACCTCTCTGTGTGCTCAGGCCAGGGGGCACCTGGGGGTCACAAGCTCCTCTTCTAGAACTCCCCACACCAGCCTCCAGGCAGTGAGTCGGCAGGCAGAAGCCCACAAGCACCCGTGGAACGCTCTGTCCATTGTCCCCCGAAGCCCCTGGGCCACCCAGGACCCCACAAGGTGCTGCAGTCCCATCTCCTGGGCTGACACTCCGCTTTGCAGGGAGCAAAAGTCTGCCACCCTAAATCGTGTCTCTTTGGCAAAGGATGACTTCACAGGAGGTGCTCAAAGGCCGGGTGGAGGTTGCTTTGGAAAAGACATTTCTCTGCAAGGGCGTCTCCCTCGCCCTCGCTGTGCCGGGAAGGCCTAATCTCCTGATCTCTTTTCGGCAGAGAAGCAGGACTTAATCTGCACCCACTGTCTGCTGTGCCTCCCGCCGCCCGCCTAGCCAACCCCTCCCCGTCCTCTGTCTCACTCAGCTGCTTCGATGGCGTCTGCAGACTCGCCTGGGCCCATATTTTATCACAAAATTTTTCCTGCATTTTCTCTTCTCAGTGTCCAACGCGTGTTTGATTGCCACAGCCTGGAAGGAGCCAGGGAGGCCCAGGTGGTTTCCTCTGCTCCCAGCAGCTTCCTCCTCTGACTCTCTCACCTGAAACGTTTATCCAGCAGCTCATCTTCGTGCTTCGATTAGAGAACGGGAGGGAGGGAAACTGAGGCACGGGCAAGCAGGGACCTTGGCCAGGCTGGCAAAGGCTCCGCTCCCGGGCCCCTCCTGGCTGGCTGGGCAGTCCGGAGCCTCCTGGTGAGCAAATCAGGTCAGCGCCCAACCTGCCAGGGCGCAGGAGGGTAGAGGCCACGGCCCAGGCCCGGTGCTAAGTGAGCTCTGTAGGTGGCTGCCCTTGTCCACTATCACGGCGCCCATGGGGCTTAGAGGACCCAGCACTGGAAACCCTGGGCCTGCATTTCCAGCAACTGCTCAGGTTGCTGCCGGGAGGCCCCGCATCCCGGCCAGCAGCTGACTTAGCCGCACAAAAGCCAGCACGTCCATCCACTTACCTCTCAGCCCGGCCAGCAGAGCAGCAGGCCGGGTCTCAGGCAGGCTGTGGACACACATCCCAGGCTGCTGACCGCCTCCGAGGGCCTGTCTGGCCCTGTCCGCCTGTCTGCCCGCTGGCTGCATGCTCCCGTCAGCAGGGCCGCCACCTCCAGGGCCCCAGACCCAGCTTCCCCGGCCTGTGGGTCCTTGTCACACAGACCCAGATCCTTTGCCCTGACCGGACTCAGCGGTCAAGCCCGCCGGGACCATCTCATCCTGGTCCGCGGGCAGACCTGGGTCTGAATGACAGCTCAGACGACTCCTGCACCTCGGTGAGCTGGTGCGGGTGTCGGGAGAAGGTGTGTCGCAGGCAGAGATCTGGGGCACCCCTCCATGCACCCTGTTCTGTGGACCCCTGTGACGTGCACCAGGCAAAGCCGGGCTCCAGAAGGGCCCACGCTGTGGGAGCTGGAGCTGCCCTCCCCCGGCACGCAGGCCCAGCTAGACCAACACGGCCGCAGCCGACCAGTCCCGGCTCGCAGCTTCGGCACCGCGTGCTCATGCTCACGTGGACGGCCCTCCCCGCCCTTCCTTCTCACTTCCGTGAACATCAAGTCCTCCATCCGAATGCCCACCCGCAGCCGCCAGGGCAAACCCCTGCCCGCCGCCCGCCCCTCCTCTGCACCCCACCCTGCACCGCCACTCAGGATGCCCCTGCTGGCACCACCAGAAAGACGAGTCCTCTCTGCACAGGGAGGGCCGTCTGTGAGGCAGGTCTTCACGGCTCTGGGGGGCTGGGGCGGGGGGGTTGCTGCGTCCTCTGGGTCCCGAGCTGCAGACAACAGGAAAGTGGGCCGGTGGCTCAGCGCCTCCCATGGGCAGGCAGGGACAGCCACACCCGGCACGGGCAGGGAGGCTTCTGGAGAAAGTCACCGCAAGTGGGGCAGGGAGTTGCAGGGCGAGCGTGCAGGCCGGCAGGGCATCCTGCAGAGGGCCTAGGACCAGGCAGGGGCTGACAGGCCTGAGGCCGGCTCCAGGGAGGCTGGCAGCCAGTGGCGGGGTCACATCCTCAGAGCCTGCTGGCTGCGGGGGCAGCCTCCTGCCCGGAGTGCCGGAGCCTGCGCCCAGAATTCACCCCTGAGAGCTCTCTGGTAATGGGGGAAGAGGCCAAAGCTGCTGGTGCAGGGAACAGACACCCCTGACGGGCAGCACCCAGGGAGCCCATGTTTCCCCCACTCCCCACCAGAACCTCGGGGAAACCTGCCGACACCCCGTGGCCTGCCCCACCCTGGCTCCCTCCCTCCGGGGGCGAGCCACCAGCAAGACGGGCTAGGGGGAGCCCATCAGCCCTGTGGCCCGGCTTTTCCGCCCAGGGCCTTCGCCACATGACCCCGGCCCCTGTGGGACAGGGAGCTAGCAGCCTCTCAGGCGGGCCCCCAGGTTCTTCAGATTCCGACACCCCCAAGTCCTCAGCCAGCGCCCACCAGAGATACGCTGGCTGCCACTTGGAGGGGGTCCCTGCTGCCCTTGCGTGGAGCCTGCAGCGCAGCCCCCTCTGCAGGAGAGCGGGGGCGCCCGTGGCTGCAGCGACCCCCCAGAGGAAACCAGGAGGACTCCAAGCTCTGGCGCGTCGAAAAGCAGAGTTTTATGCTTTTCAACACCAACCAGCTTTGCTAGGAAGATGGCGTAAAAGTCAGGCCCTGGAGGGACACAGCTTGCCCAGCGCGGTGCGCGTCACAGAGCAGCCAGGCCGCCCGCCAGAAGAGACGGCTGGACAACAAATAATAAAATCTCCCGTGATTCACGCGCGGCCGCGAGTCCCACGCAGCACCCCGGATATATTTATGCTAAAAAGTTACAAATAATTTTTTTTGATAAAAAGTTCAAATGTTAGCAAAATTTGAGAAATTCAAATGTTAATTAAAGATCGATAAACTGGGTGACAGTAGCCCGGCTCCTCGTGCAGTATTTGGGACCCGCTCTGGCAACGCGTCCTTCATCTGAAAACCAGATGTCACTGTCCCTTAGTTCGAGTCACGAGTCTGGCAAGCGGCTCCCTCAGAGTTCATCCCCCTCTGCTTGGCGGCTGCCGTGTCCCCAGGGGTGCCCAGTGCTGGGACTAAAGGAGGGTGGGGGCAGGCAGCCCCCAGGGAGGCCCCGCCCCAACCCGGAAGGCCCTCCCTCTTAGCACCTCCAAAGAGGGGTCTCCTGGAGCCCCCAGTGCTGGCACCCCCACCTCATCCAGCTTTCTCGCAGTGTAGACTGCTCAGGGGCTATTCTGATGGAGGCGGTTGCACCCCTGGGCAAGGTCAAGCTGCGCACCCCAGGGGAGCGCCCAGACTGAGCTGGGGAGTCAGGGCGCCCCCAGCCTGTGTGGCCTCTTTCTCTGAGCAGACCACCGCTGCCGTGGCTGAGGCCCTCGGAGACTTCTACCCAGCCTTTCTAACCTTCCCCTTGGTGGGGGTGGCTCCCGGCCACACAGCTCCCGGTCCCTGCGCCCCAGGCTTCCCGGTGGCGGGGAGCCCCTCAGTGCCCGTCTCAGGGTCAGGACAGCCTGATGCTGTCAGGGGAGTCCAGACCACCGTCCAAAATGGCTGCCCGTGTTCACTCCCACCAGGAATGGGAGCGGGTTTCCCCCCCATAGCCTCCCGGCACTCGTTGGCAGCGGGCGGGCGGGCTGTAGTACTCGCAGCTGGCCGCGCCAAGGGGCCCTGCGTGCCAGCCGTTGCTCGGGACTGTCCCAGAGCAGCCAGCTCCGGCCAGGCCCCCTCCTCAGCCCCGGGAGCCGCAGCGCTGGCCTCAGTCGAAGAAAGCAGGTCAGGGCAGACTGGCAGGCCCGGCAGCCCTCCAGGGGACAGTGAGGTCCTTCCCCAGGGCTGCAGGTGGAGGGGGTGGGCAGCGAGGCAGCCGGGGGAAGCCGGGGCCCAGGAGCTGGCAGGGAAGCCCGTGGTGACTTCCTGTGGCAGGTCGCAGCAGGCCGCGGCTGGCTTTGATGAATGAAGAAAAAATGTACCCGGAGAAGTAGAAGCGGTTCCTGGTGACTTGGCAGCCTCAGAGCTGTGTGGGTGTCTGCGTTAACCCTTCCCTCCCCAGCTTCCTCCAGCAGGGGGATCATCCCAGACCACCCCACGTCCCCAGGACAGCCCCGCAGACCCCGAGCTCACCTGGACACCAAGACAGTGAAGCCCACGCAGCTGAGAGGGGCTCGCGGGAGTCTGGCTGCAGTGACCAGCCCCCTGTGCGGCCCTCGGTGCCTGCCACTGGGAGGCTCAGCAGGCGTGATGGCTCATTCCACAGGTCAGCTTGGCGGGGCCACGACACCCACAGTGAGTCAAATATCCGGCTGTCACTAGGTTTGGGATACGATGAACCCTTTAGTCTGGGGGCTTTGAGCCAAGCAGATTGCCCTCCCTAACTGGTGGGCCTCACCTGGTCAGTTGAAGGACCTTAGAACAAAGCGGTGAGCGGCCCCGAGCAAGAAGGGACACAGCCTGCAGACCGGCTTTAGGCTCGAACTGCAGCCTGGGCCCCCGGCCTGCCCGTCTACCCTGCAGATTTTGAACTTGCCGATCTCTAAAATCACGAGTCCATCCCTTTCTCGCTGCCCTACAAATACATCCCGGTGCTGTTTCTCTGGAGACTCGGGTGCAGGCAGGGGGCACTGGTTGAGCTGGTCTCTTCCCCTGTGGCGGGAAGGAGGCAAGCCCATGATGGGTGTGCTGGTGACAGGCACCGACATCCGACTTCCGGGCCTGTCGGGGCTGACAGAGCCTGCTGAGGGGTCAGACTTGGGCCCAATAACCCAGCAGGCCCCGCAGAGACCCACCCGCCTGCATACGCCAGCCCCGCCTCAGCCTTGACAGGGCCAGTCAGGGAGTGGTGGTCAGGAGTGGATTGCATGGCTAATGATCTCCGGGAAACTCTGCCAACCCTTGGACCACATGGCGCTCACCCTGCCCAGGTGATATGCGCCTCTCCAGTCTGTGCACACCTGCCGAGCACTGTGCTCACCTCCCAGGTGCTGTGCGCGTCAGAGCTCCTCCATCTTCTTGGGGAGCTGCGGTTTCCAAGGCCTACCCCCTCCCCCGCCCCATCCACGAGGAGAGCCTCATCGTTCAGGGGTCCCCACCACGTGGGCTTCCTGGGGGTCGCCTTGTCTGCAAGAGGGCATGGTGGCGGGAGGGCTGTGTTGCCAAGGAAGCCTGGCCTTGGAGCTGGTCCCCCTGTGGGGAAGAGGCCCTCTTTTGAGCCTTGTCATGTAAGAGGGCCACTTGAAGGACAGGTGCGTGCCCCTGGCCATCTGATGCAATGAGGGTCCAGAATCCACTCTAAGTGCGACCCCTGCGCTCTCCTGCCTCACCCCCACTCCCAGCCAGCACCTGTGCCCCTGCACAGCCCTGGGGGCCTGTTCTGCCCTCACCACACCAGCTTCCTGTTGACCCTGGCTCTCAGGACCCTTGCTAGTGGCCGCACGAGGACTGACCTCTCTCTGGGGGGCCCTCCATCACATGAAGTCCTTCAGCAGGTGCACAGAGGGACGGGCCAGAGGACAGGAAGTGACCACGGTGGCTGATGGGAGGGGCTGATCGAGCTGACCAGCTGCCTGCGGGTTTGGGGGCAGCCTGTCCCCCAGGTGTGACTTCCACGTGATTGGATCCAGTGACTGCTGGACGGACGGATGGGCAGATGCTTTCCTTGGTTTCTTCCTTTCATAGCCGTGTGCTGTGACTTTCACACACCCCTAAAAGCAACTGAAAAAAATCATAAAACAAGGGAAAAAATCAGTGTAGAATGGGGACAGCTGGAGTCATCCATCACCGCCTCCTTGGCGGGACTGGGAGGGTAGCGTGGACAGGCGCTGTCTGCTGGTCATGTGCGTTCCGCTGCCGAGGCCGCCCTGTTTTGAGTCTATTGACCCTTTTAAAGTGAACAATTTGGGCCTCCCCGGTGGCGCAGCGGTTGAGCTCTGGGTTGCGAAGCTGCCCGCAGCCTCTGCAGCGCTGGTTCGATCCCCGGCTGCTCCCCGGCCACCGGAGGAGGGTCCCACGTGGCGCGCAGACCTCTCCTGCCGCCCGCTGCTCCCCTCGGCAGTGTCCTTCGGTCCCTCTGCCCGCTCTGCTCCCCGCTCTGGCTCTGGTGAATTCTCTCACCCTCCCGCGCTTCTGACTGTACCCAGTGCTTGTATAAATAAATAAAAATAAATCTTTAAAAAATTAAAATAAAATAAAGTAAAACCTCCTTAAAAAAAATAAAATAAAGTGAACAATTGGTGCACTTAGTCCGTTCACAGAGCTGTGCATCCTCCTCCTGCCCACTGCACCCTCTCTGTCCCTTCAGTGTGAGCCCCCACACCTGCTATACTGCCCCACCCAGTCCTAGCACCCACCGGCCTGCCTTGCGGATCTGCGTGTTCTGCGCAGTTATGCACAGGCGTCACTTGCTGCGTGACCTTTCTCTTAGTGGTGCCCCAACCTTGGCTGCACAGAGGTTGCTCCCTGCTGCAGCCCTGTTCTCCTTTTGACGACTGAGTGCTATTCCCCGTGGGGACAGGCCATGGTCCCGAGGGTGGTTCCCCCGCTGGGCTGCTGTGAAGAACGCTGCTGTGAGCCTGAGTGTACAGGCACCTACTTGAGTGCCGCAGTGTGGTTGTCTGGGGTGTATGCCACCAGCAACTTTCACAGTCCACAAAACCTTGGACATCAGTTTTCAGACATCACAACTTGACAAAGGCAGGGGCCCAAGCAGCAGGGCCAAGGCTGATGTCAGGAGATCCCTCCCACAAGCCGCTGGCCACCGTGCCCACAGGGGCCCTAAGGACGGAAGCAGACGGTGGACCCACTGGCTTCCGTAGGCTGGACAACGCCCAGCCAGGATGCAGGCGGTGCTGTCAGAGATGGCGCCCCATTCCATCCACTGCCCACCACGGTCGGGCGAAGTGGCCAGGTTAGCCGGGCAGCTGGAGGTCACTGGTAGGGCCTCAGCAAGCTTGAGGCCCACCTTCTAGTCAGAGGCGCAGCCTGGACCCGCCTGGGAAGCTAAGTCAGAGGGTGAGCGAAGGGAGGTGGGCAGGAGGAACGAGTTCATTAGGGAAGCCACACCCCGTTACTCAGCACCGAGTAAACAGGATTAGTCCCACTCAGGACTATGAAGAAGGAAAGTTTCCAGGTAAATCCACCTTCCCAAGAAGCCACCGTGAGCCTTTGTGGGTTTATTTGCATGGAAAGTCAGTGTGGATTAATTATGAAGCCAGTCGGTCAGTCCTAAGTCAAGCAGGCCGTTGGGATCTGCGGGTCCCACATCACCTTGGGCATCTTCCTGTCCTCCCTCATGGAAGCCATAAAATGCTCAACCCCCCGCCTAGTCGCTGGCACTGGGGAGATGCTGAAGAATGCTCGGGGGCTGGAGCGCGAGGCAGCCATCCTAAAAGTGAAAGCAGGTCTTGATTCCTACAATTCAGGTCCCTGGGACCAAAGCCTCCTCCATTGCTTCCTTCCACTCCAGACTTTCCCAGCCCCATGGAGCCCTCCCATCCGCAAACAAGTTTAGGCAGCATTTTCGGGGCCTTTCAGGTTAATTTTCTCTGTTTTGTTTTTTTTTTTTTTAATCAGGTCAGTCAAAATACACAATGTGAACAGTCAAAAACTCTAAAGAACTCTGCCAGCCCCACCCACTGCCTCCCACTCCCTGCCCAGCGCTTTCTTCGAACTCACCACCGCACGCTTGTTTGTGCGCTGTTTGTGGCTAATATGGTAGGTGTTCATTTCCAACTGTGAAAGATGAAAATTTAGCTTTCGCAACTGCCACACCCACAGCCAGTCACCCACTGTGTTATGTCATCACTCACAATGAAATCACATTCATTGTGGACACAGCACGGTGACTAGGTCCGCGCTGCGAGGCACGCCCCTGGCCTGCTAGTTTGGCTGAATATTGAATTCTAGATTGGATGACACTTTCTTTTTTGGCAACTGTATGGGCTAAAGATGAAAATTTCCTACTGTACAGCTAGAAATGTTGCTTTTAAATAACACGAGTCCTTTTAAATAACTCACTAAGTGCGCCAGGAAGAGAGGGAAGGACATCTCCGAGGGCTGGAAGAGACACGGTGGCCAGCCTGGTGAGTACAAAACTCTCAGCTGTGAGGCTCCAGCAGGCTCACACCAGGGAGCTCGAGTTGAAAATCCCAGGGACAGGAGATAAGGTGAGGGGGCAACTATTATAAGGGACACCCTGAAAGCCTACCCCTGTGGGTATCCACGTACCCACAGAAAAGAGAAGCCCCCAAAGCTTTCCTGTCTCAGCCCTTGTCATGCGTGGAGAACAATCCCCCTGAGAACTTGCAATGACATGCCTGTCCTGTCTGGGTTCAGGATTCACATAGACGCACGGTCCTTGTAGTCCAGGACCATGGTGTGACTGAGGCAAACGGAGGCTACATTGGCGTCAGACCCCAGAGCACAAGGGAGAGCCTTCCTCTACAGACACTACAGAGCCTGGAGAGCTAGTGCTGAGTGGAGCCCCAAGGCTGGCTGGAGACACAAATACAGAGGAGGGGTCACCAAGGAGCACCCCCAACAGAAGTTCAGAAATCCAGTTTTCTGAAGACTCCTCGAACTTCTCCATGTATGAACTGCCCTGTCACTGGCCAAAGAACTTCAGTCCTGCCTACACTTTACCCTTCACCCCACCCCCAGGCAATAAATGTAGCTCCTTCGTTCTCACCCCCGTACCCAAAACCTCTAGAATCTCATTCCCTTTTCTAACTAGGGAGGTAGATTTGAGTTTATCTTGTCTCCCTGCCCTTCTTTTTTCAAAATTCTGACATCCTATCTGGTCTATGCACATCAGATAATATCTGGTCTATGCACATCGGGTACTGAGCCCTGTTGCAGGGTAACAGCTGGACCCTGGAGTGAGCAGAAAAGTGATCACAGGCTGGCAACACAGCTGGGAGTCTCGCGAAAGCAAAGCCGAGTGTCAGCTCCTCAGCATCAGCCCAGGCACAGGATTCCCACAGGCAGAGCCCCGCCGAAAATGAGCTCGCAATCCACAATGATCGAGCATAGGGAAACAACCCACCTGCGGATTCAATGAACAGAAAGGCGACCCCTAAGCAGTTCCGGCGATGGGACCATCAGAGCATGGCTGTACACAGACGTCTTTCCGCCGAGTAGAGCTGTAAACCAAGGAACCGAACACAAGACACCGTGGGAGCAGGTTCTGAAGGAATGAAGAGAACGTTTAGAAATAAAGAATAGTGAAAAGAAAAATCTCAGTGACCAGGTTAGCCCGGGATGAGCCAGGGTGAGCCCAAAATCAGGGCCGCTCAGCAACTAGAAGCCCGGCCCGGGCACTGAACAGACGGGACAAGGAGCAGGAAGTTGAGACTTGAAGAAGATTGTAAGGACTTCTAGAGTGAACGCTTTCTTCAGAATTTTGGCAGCATTGTTCTCGTCTTCTTGCTTCTCCTTGCGTTGTCTACGAGTCTGAAGACACCGATTTAGAACACACACACGCATGCACACACACATGCATGCACACATGCACACACACAGCTCCCAGGGACGCCTCTCCACCCCTGCCCACGGTCCAGGCCGCTGTGCTCGGGAGGGAAGCGGCCCAGCCACGCTCTGCCTATGCAGTGGACCTTCTGAGACTCGCGTGCTTGATTTTGGGAATGTTTCTCCTTCCTCTGGAACTCCTATTACTGGGATGTTGAGCCCCTGAAATGCTTCTCACTGTCGGAGGCGCAGGGAGCCCACTCCCTCGCGGGGATGGAAGCAGCGGCATACAGGTGCAGGAGGAGGGCCCAACACCCCTGCCCCCCTGCCCCCACCTCCTGGAAATAGATGCCAAGTGGAAAGAGCTGGAACAAAGCTGGGGGCGGGACGCAGGAAGGCAGGGCGGCAGGTGCAGAGAAACTCACACACCCTTCCCCAAACCTCCTGGCCGGGGGGCGAGGAGCACCAGCGCTGTGGCAGTGCACCGCTCAACCTCACACCAGACCCTGCTTCTAAACATTTTTTTTTCTTTTAAAGATTTATTTATTTATGCACACAAGAACTGGGGAACAGGCCAGAGGTGGGGGGGATCCACCAGAGTGGGGAGCAGAACAGGCAGATGACTGAAACACACTGCTGAGGGGAGCAGCGGGGAGACAGGAGAGGTCTGCCGCGCCATGTGGGTAGCTCCCTGGCCGGGGCTGGAACTCGTGCTGCAGTGGCTGCAGGTGGCCTCATAGGTTGCACCCTAACCCCGTGTGCCACCAGGGAGGCCTTAAATACTTTTCTATGATTTGAAGTTTTTTCAAAACATGTAGTTAAGAAAGGAAAGTACGAATTATGGACATTGAGGAGACAGAGCTGTGCTGCCGGGAGCTTCTTCCAGAGATTCGTCATTCCTCTCCCGGCTTTTCACAGGGAGAAGGGCCCCCAGCTTCAGCGCACCCACCAAAGGGCATTCCATACCACACATAAGTGCCTCCAACCTTTGGTTTTCAGAAACCAGATTGGAGCTCATGTCTAAGAAAAAGTAATCTCGCTGACTTCGAAAGAGTAAAAGAGTATTACACTTTATTGACAGAGAGACGTGGGCATCCACACGCCCTATACACAGTAACACGACAGTACAAGCACAGGCGTATTAAAACATAGCCAGTTCTAACAGCCAGGTATTTCCTATCACGGAAAACAGGTCTCCTGCCGCAGATTCACATTCACATGCCCACCAGAGTAACACAGACCCTGCACACAGGCCACAGGGCGTGTCTGCACACAGGGTCACGCCCTGCGGCAAACCTTTTCCAGCCACAGTGTCCAGGGGCACGCGTGACAATAAAGGACTGGGAACAGGTGCAGGCATCCCTTATTTTTGGATGTCTGGGGACACTATCACCATCACTTCGTATGGACTTTTTTTTTGAGTGTTCCTAGACCCCCAGAGGAATCTCCCAAGTCATACTGAGCAGGGCACCCTACTCTCGGAGAACGGGGGCAATCTGTAATCCAATCCTTCTACCTGAGATGGTGCAGTGTTCTCCAAGGGCTGCCTTGGTGGTGACACCCCAAAAGCTGAGGCTCCTGCAGGCAGCACCTGTCTGTAAAGCACCCCCAGCACTCCAAGGCAGTGCACTCACCACAATCACTTCATCTAAAACCAGAGTGAGAAAGAAACCGACGACGCGGCGGCCCGTCTGACCAGGTGAGACCACCTCCGGTCCCACGCGGAAGCCGGGCGGCGACCTCCTGCTGACGTGGGCACCACAGGCAGTGGGCAAGAAGAGCAGGGAGCAGTGGCGGGGAGGGGGGCATGATGACCGGTCAAGGACAAGCAGATGTAAAAGAGCTGATAAGATTTGTGTTCTAGAAACCCTGGTACCTTCCACTCACTCCTCGCAGACGAGACTGTCAGCCATAGCACACATAAGAGCCTCAGGCCAAGCTCACACCGTGCCCAGCGGCTGCAGAGTCCACACAGAGTCCCACTGCGACTCTCCGGGCAGGCATCTCCGCCCACAGCTCCTGCGCACCCGGCGCCCACAGGGTGGCGGCTGCCTCCCCGCCTCAGCTGGTCACGAGGGCTGGGTCAGAGCCAGGGGCACGACGGGCTGGTGACCCCATCCTTCTTGACGCCGGGCACACGAGAGGTGGCCGGGCCAGGTGCGCCCTGGCCCCTGCGTCCAGATGCCTGGCAGGTCACGGCCAGGAGTCAGCAGGCTCCTGGCGGCCGCTCAGTCCAGAGTCGGTCAAGTCTCCACTGGCCACCGGCAGGAAGCAGGGGGCAGACCGGCACCATTGCGCCCGCGGCGGAACGCAACAACGGGACAGGACCATGCGCGCCGGTCTCCGCGCCAGGCTAGGTCTTGCTTCTCCGCAGGACCGGGCCAGCAGGCCCCTGGCTGCCCTGGAACTTGAGGCTCTGCATGTTGACATGGGCGCCATGTCTGATCAGCGTCTCCACTGCCTTGGTGTGCCGGCCCTGGGCGGCCAGGTTCAGCGCGCTGAGCCCCTGCGCATCCGCCAGGTCCAGCACGTCAGCGCTGGCCAGCTCCTCCACCACCTCCGCGTGCCCGCTGGCGGCAGCCAGGTGCAGTGCCGTCTGGTTCTGGGGCCCGCGGGCCAGCACGTCAGCCTTCTCCTCCACCAGCAGCTTGACGGTGGCCAGGTGTCCATTCCGGGACGCGAGGTGCAGGGCGGTGCAGCCCTCCGCGGTAATGGCCTCCTGGCGGGCGCCCCGGTGCAGCAGCAGCCGCGCGGTGCTGGTGTGGCCCGTCTCAGCGGCCACATGCAGGGGCGTCTGCGCCCGCTGGTTGCACAGGTTGACATCTGCTCGCAGGTCGATGAGCACACGGGCCACGCGGTAGTGGCCCCGCTGTGCGGCCAGGTGCAGGGGCGTCCTCCCATCCTGCGTCTGGGCGTTCACGCTCACCCCCGGCTGCTTGGCCAGCAGCTTCACGATGGCCAGGTGGCCCTGCCAGGCAGCGTAGTGCAGCGGCAGCCAGGCATCCTTGCCCGGCAGGCCCACGTCCGCGCCACGCCGCAGCAGCAGCCGCACGACGCCCTCCTGCCCATGCTGGCAGGCCACGTGCAGAGGCGTGCGGCCCTCGGAGTCGGCCTCGTGCACGGAGGCGCTCCTGTCCAGCAGCAGGCGTGTGCTGCTCTCGTCCCCGTTCTGCGCGGCAAAGTGCAGCGCCGTCCAGCGGTCCTCATCCGCAGCGTTGACGCTGATCCTGCGGGCCAGCAGCAGCTCCACCAGGCTGCGCGCGCGCTTCCCCACGGCCAGGTGCAGCGGGGTGGAGCCCCTCCGGTTGGTCCGGTTGGGGTCGGCGTTGTTGAGCAGCAGCCACTTGACGCACTCCTCCTGGCGTGCCTCCACCGCCAGGTGCAGCAGGCTGCCGCCGCCCTCCAGCACCAGGTCCGCGTCCTGCGGCTGCAGGATCTTCATGAGCCGGCTGGTGTCCCCGCTCACCACCGCCTCCACCAGCTTCTTCTTCTGCACGTCGGTGGTGCCCAGGTCTGTGGGGAGAGCGGGTGCGGCTCAGACGCTGCTGCCCCCCACCTTTGCACAGGCCTCCCCGGGCCCAGCCGGTCCCGGTGCGGCCGGGATGCCCACCGCCCCCGGGCGGCTGCTCCCCTGCGACTGCAGAAGGGTCAGCCAAGCGGCCTCGTCTGCGCTCACGTCTAGAGGACACGGGCAGGCCATGAGGACTCCCTGTGCTCTGTTGTCACTGGGCAAAATAAAAGCCATTCTGGGCACCCGCAGGGCTGTGGCAGTGACTGCGGGTTCTTCAGAGCGAGGAGGGTTCTTCAGAGCGGGAGGGAGACATAAGGAAAACGCAGCAGGGGCGGGACAAGGAGAGAAGAGTAGAAAGAGAAGGAGAAGGGGAAGAGAGGGCGGGCGCAGGGCCGGCGTCCACAGGACACAGCTCAGCACAGAGGGGGACCCTGCGACGGGCTGGTGGGCAGCGCCCCTACATGCCCGGCCCCCAGGCGCACCCAGGCACTGAGCGGCGGCACCAGAGCCAGCTGGTTCAGGGCAGAGCAACGGTCCTTCTCGGCTCAAGCCCGGGCACCTGGTCTTTGTCTGCTCCTCCAGGACCCACACGCCGCCCGCCCGCCCGCAACCAAGGGCCGGGGCCGCTTACCACTTGTCGGAGGCTCCCGCTCGAAGGACAAGGACAGGGACCCCCGGGAGGAGAAGGCGGAGTCCACGGAGGACACCCCGGAGAGCCTCTTGCCGCTGCTGGCAGCCGGGAGCTTGGACTCGGAGGCGCAGCGGCTGAGCTCCTCGGGGCCCTCGAGCGTCTGCGAGATGCCCGAGTCCAGCTGGGACAGCAGCTCGGACAGGCTGTAGTCGTTGTCGAAGGTGGGTGCGGAGGCCCGCTTGAGCGGCGTGGACACGGGTGCCTGCGGGGACGGGGGTGATCTAAGACGCGCAGCAGGGGCCGGGCGAGCGCAGGACACTGGGGCTGTGGGCGCCACGCGGGCGCACCCTACTCCTGGCAGCCAGCGCCGGGAAGGACCGACCACCAACCCAGGAAGGCCAGCGTGCCACTGCCCTCTGGGGTGGCTGTGCGGGGAGTGAGCTCCAAGGCGGGGAGCTGGGGTGCCGGGGCGTGTCCACAGTCAGCACTGGCCAAAGTGAAGGATGAGCTGGGGCTGGGGCTCCCCAGCTTTGCCAAGCCCGCGGGCTCACCTTCGTGCTGCCCAGGCCTGGCTCTGAATGCAGACGGGCGCGGGATCCAGCCACAGGGACAGGACACGAGGCCACCACCAGCATGTGAGGGGCTCCAAGTGACCCCCCGGGGGCCGGTGCTGAGTCACGCCCCCTGCTGGGTGCCTAATCAGGGTCCCGGCCGCTGGCCCCAGGCCCCTCTGCTCCCGGGCCGAGCATACACGCCTCCTTATGGTCGGCAGGCACGGCTCACACCTGCAGGCCTCCCAGGCCCTCGCCGAGGCTGGGCCCGGCTGCCAAACCAGGCGTCGGCCTCCAAGCTCAGTCCAGGCTCCTCCAGCCACAGACGGGAGGCAGCCGGGACGCCGCCTGGGGGCTGCTGGCAGCCGCAGGGCCGCGGGGGAGCAGTCGGGTTGGGGGCCCCAGAGTCCAGGTAGGGAGGCCCCACTACCTCGCTCCTGGGCTCCGGCGGGCTCCTGGCGTCTGGCTCCTGGGCCTCCCTCACCTCCTCATCCGGCTTCTCGCACAGGTCCTCCGTCTCAGAAGTGATTTCTTTGGGGAAGAAAACAAGAGCGCGGTGAGCCTCGAGGGGACGCCTGTGTGTGGCTACAGATGGCTGAGCAGGCTGCGGGGCGCTCCGCTCTCAGCGACCCCCTGGCGCCAGGCACAGCGCTTCTGACGGGAGAGGCGGGTTTGGTCAGCTTTGACTGTATTCACGCTAACGCCTCCCCGGATAAGTATCACAAATAAAAACAGAGAACGCGGCCTCTGCATAAACTCCAGTGGACATCCCGCCCTGGATGGGAGCAGGGCACCCCAAAGTGTCTTTGTCTTAGGGGCCTCGGTCAGGACTGGGGCTCCTGTGCTGCTCCCCCAACCCCAGGGCTGGACCCATTTGCAGGGAGGAGCAAATGGGTCCAGTTTCCTAAAGGAAGCCTTCCTGGGGTGGGGCCCCCATGTTTTCAACACCACGGTCAAGTTCAATCTCAAGTCCCTTTCCCGAGCATGTGGCCCATGTGTCATGGGGACCCGGCGGCCTCAGGCCAGCGCCACAGCAGCCTCGCGGGAGATGCTGTCCCTGCGCCGGGGCAGGCGCAGGGGCGGGCGAGGTGGTCCCGGCTGGTGGAGAGGGCACAGGCACCCTGGCATGCCTACCTGCCCGCTCACTCACCGCCCCCCGGACAGCAGCAGAGCACGGCGGCTCACCTTGGAAGGTGGGGCGCTCGCGAGGGTCCCCGTGCCAGCACCGCTGCATGAGGCGCAGGAGCAGGGCGCAGGCCCGTGGCCGGGCTCTGCACACGGGCGGCAGCTCCGGCCGGTGCCCCTTCACCACTTTCACCATGATGTGCAGGATGTTCTTCTCGTCTGCGAAGGGAGAGCCAGGTGAGGGGCTGTGCAGGCCGGGCCGGGCCATCCGCCGGGGAGGGCTGTCTGTGCGCGGGGGACGGGGCTGCCCATAGGGGAAGGCCACGGGGAGCCCTGGCCCGGGTGCACCAGCCCGTCTGCCACCCTCGCCCGGGGACCACACGCTGTCTGTCGAGGCCCCGAGCTCCTAATCTCAGCCTGGCAGGCTCGGTCTCTGGCTCGGGCTGTGGCCCCATCACCTCCCCGGGAAGCCAGGCCCCTATCAAAGCGCAGATCTTTCTGGGCATCACACTCAAAGGAAAACGGGTTCAAAGGAGCAGTTTCTGACGAGACACGTCCCAGGTGGAGGGGAGCCAAAGGGAGACAGCGCTTCCACCACCCCGGGGCGCAGCGCAATGCTCCCAGGAGACGGAAGGGCCCCCCGAGTTCCACTCCTAGCTCCAAGCGCAGGCCCAGGGCGGGCTTCAGGGATGGAGGCCCGTCCTCCCGCCCCACCCTCCTCCTCCTTCCCCCTCACTCTCTTCTCCTCAGACTGGGGGGCCCAAAGTGACTCTTGGGGGCCATTTTCTCCCTGCACAGCCTAAGCCAAGCTGCACCCCAAACTTCCTGTTCCCTGCAGGCCCCTTGGCCCAGCCCCACGTGCCCACGCCCAGGAACCGGCGAGGCGGCAGCCGGCTCACGAGGCCCCGACAGCGGCCGGCGTTCTGTGATGTTTGCGCCTCCTTCCCGTTAAAGCTGGAGCAGCGAGTGCTGCTGGCACCCACAGCTTGTTTCTAGACGGCCCAGGCGTCCCGAGTCCACCCCGTCCTCTGAACAAAACACACCTGCACGCTTGCCACGGCCAAACGCAGGCGGACAAGCTCCGCGACGCCTCGAGCGCCACACCCCGGCCCTCCTGCCCAGCAGCGACCTTCAGCCTCGCGCCAGACAGGGACCTGCGTCCATGACCTTGGCTGCCTCGCTGGAAAGCACTCAGACCAGGGACCCCCGGAGGACCAGGGGACCAGGCCACACTGGCTGCACCAACAACAGCGACTCCCCTGACCCACTGATTGTGAAACCCCAAAATGGCACGAGTCGCCCCGACAGGCTGGAGAGCAAAGGGGATCTTCCTCCAACAACGTGCGCGCGTACCGGCGCCCACCACACACAGACAGCACACGCGGACCCCCGAGCTGGGCCGCGCCCACCCAAGAGCCCCCATCCCATCCAGAAGAGCTGCAGGGAGTGGGCCGCGGGGGTCTGGGGCTACGGGCAGACCTGCTGGGTGGACAGCACAGCCCCTGCCCAGGGCAGCCCCCCGCAACCCCCACCACGGAGCCGGCTTGAACCGCGCGGACACAGCCAGGGGACACATCCAGACACGCCACTCACCTGCAAACGGCTTCTTCTGGGTCAGCACACCCCAGATGACGATGGCGAAGCTGAGATGGAGAGAGGGCAGTTAGGGTCAGGAGCCAGACCCGGGCCTGGTCAGCAGCTCCCACGGCCATGGGCTTGTAGGAGGCCCGAGGCTGGACAGATGCCATTTCCCCGGGGAACACGTCCATGGGCAGCCCCAATGGACACCGCCGACCTAACCCTAACTGAGCACGGGGGACGCCCGAAAACAGGCCACCTGCTCTGGGGGAGGCAGCGCACACCCGCTGGGCCTCCGCCTCCCGCAGGCACTGGACTGGGGCTGAGGTCTGGCCTGTGAGCACAACCCGCGTGAGATGTCGTCCGAGGCTTGTCGGCGAGGACGCTGAGGACACAGGCTGGGCGTGCAGACCCACGCAGAAGTGACAGACGCCAACAAGGGCTAATAATAAAAAGTCCTGGCACCAAAAAAAGCTCAAGCTGATCGTTCACTAAAGCAGACCCAGGAGCCCGGCTCGGAGACCCCGCCTGCGTGGACGGGGCTGGTGAGACGCAAAATGCTCCTTGGGCCGTGAATGGGAGCCTTGCTGCAAGTTCAAAAGTTGAACCTCTCGGCTCTAAAATAAATACGCGTACTCTCCCCCAGCACTGCAAGCTGGGGCCTGCACCCCGCGCCAGCCGCCAGCAGGCGCAGCTCGGGCCAGCTCAGCCAGCAAGGCGGGGGCACGGCGCCCTCCACCAGGACGCCAGCCGGGCTGGGGGGCCACGGGTGCTGAGAGCCCGCGCGGCCTCCTGCCCGCTCCTCCTCCTCCTCGCTGGGTCAGGTGACTCCCGCCTTCACCTCCTGGAAAGGGCGGTGCCCAGCACGGGGAACCAGGCTGGGGTAGGAGCCACCATGTCTGTGCCCCTCTGTCCAGGGAAAGTGACACCAGAAGTCCAGCAAGGCCAGAGGGCCACATGTGGGCAGGCCAGAGCGCACGCCAGGTGGACACAGCCCCTCAGCAGCAGGTTTCTCCAGTGGGTGAGCTGTAAGCGCTTTCGTCAGAACACGAGGCCTCACCAGCCACTGATGTAACTGGCACAGCCGGCAACACTGTCCAGTGCAGCCTCACTCTCACCGGGCACAGCTGCCCCTGGACCCGCCGGCGACACCTGCCCACGCATCGGGAGGGCCCCGGGTGCTGGGCACGGGATACACACACCTGTACACATCGTGCTTGGTGTCAAAGAGGCGGCTCTTCTCGCGGATGCGCTCGGGAGGGAGGTAGGCCACCGTGCCGAACAGCCCGTCCACGCTGAGCTCGTGTGAGTGGGACAGCCCGTGGCACTTGGCCAGGCCGAAGTCGGAGATCTGCAAGGACAACGACAGAACGGGCTCAGGGGTGGCTCAGGGCTCCCGAGCCAATGCCTGCAAAGGCACATCCCCACCCCCACACGCCCCTTGAGCCCCAGCAGCCCTGCTCCCCAGACAGGTGCATGCGGCCAGGGAGAAGGAGCTCTCTGGTGGGGAGCACACTCTAGGGGAGGGAGACAGCCCTGGGAGAGGAGCACACTCCTGGAAGGGAGCACACGCCAGGGAGGGAGCACAGTCAGGGAGGAGCTCCCTGGCAGGAGAAGGAAGAGAGTGGTCACTCTGTTCCTGGAGGCAGGGGGCCTGCCACGGTGGCCAGCCCAGGTCGACATGCAGGGAGGACGTGAGAATGTGAAACGCGAGGCCAAGGGATCCAGCTGTGTAGCCTCCCAGCTGGGGAGCCGGCAAGTGGCAGCACGTCCCTCCCAGGGAAACACCTAGAGAAGCCCTTTAAAGTCAGCAGAGCACGCGGCTCCCGTCTCCACCTGCACCACTGCTGTGGTCATGGCTGCTGGCCGAGGCGCACTTGGATCTTAGGGTCCAAGCAGGGTCCCCCCTTACACACGGGCCCCGACCCAGCCACTCAGGCCCGCTCCTCTGCCTCCTGTCTCCGTGGGCAAAGGCCCTGAAGGCTCCTGGAAACCCACGCCCACACAGGGAGCGTGGGGTCTGTGAGGCCAGGCCCCGGCCGCCCCACGTCCCGGTGCCCACTGGGAGCTGGTGAAGTGGTGTGCACGGCCAGGCCACTCAGAGGCGCGGAGCGGCCCAGGAGCCCTGTGCAAACAGCCCCTTCAGAGCCTTTGGCATCAACCACCAGCTCCACCCCCAACACACCTGTGGGTGATGCTGTGGCTGAGTCAGGCCTGCGTCCTGGGCTCGCCGTGCCCCAAGGGGAGCCCGGCCCGGGTCACCACCGCAGAGGCAGGGAGGGCCAGAGAGGCCTGCCCGGCTCCCCGGCCTGCAGGCTCTGCCCTGCAGCACTCACAGTCAGTCCCCAAGCAAACCCGCGCCGAGCTGCAGACCAAAGGCCAGGGCGGAAGTGCAAGAGCCCCGGACAAGCGGGGGACGGCACGGAGCCCCTTCAGCAGTGGGGCCGCCACACTCAGAAATGAAACCGCTGGTCGCCAGGATCCGGCCTTGGCCCGGCCACGGCTCCCCTAGCTGGCAGCTTTTTATTTCTGCCATTTTCAGACATAGCCAGCCGCTTCAAAATGTACTTGGTGGCGGGGAAAGCAGCGTGAATTCTGGGCACAAGCGCCGGCATTTCAGGCAGACTCAGACGACGGCTCTGAAGACCGCAGCCCTCTGCCCACGGGACTTCCCGCCGCCTGCCCAGGGCCCGCCTGTCCCCTGCTCCTCTGACAAGCTGTCACCGCACGCGACACGGTCTACACTCCATCTGCAGATCTATACTGTAGGGCCAAGATCTACACTCCAACGTGCATGTGCAGCGTCCGCTAGGAGCCAGAACCTCGGGCCTCCACCCTCGGGCCCGGCTGGACAAGACCAGGGAAGGGAGGTCAGGCCGTTTCCAGACCCAGGACAGGCCCTGCGGCCCTCTGAGCAGGGCCTGGTCTGGGCGACTGGCCCGGAGGCAGAGCCCAGATTTTCAATGACCTCATCGTGGACCCAAAACAGGTTTACATGGAGACCCTGGCATGGACACTCAACACCGAGTGCACCACGTGCTGTGTGAGCCCTTACGACTGCGCACAGCCTGGCTGCGTGGCTCCCCGTTCTCGCTTCCCAGGGGCATGCCAAGTTGACTGAGGGGCATGGGGGGGGGTGGCCCCCCAACTTCTGATCTGACCTCAGGCTCCCATATTAAGGTATTATTGTTCCAAATAATGGCCACCTGAGAGCCCCTGCCAGGCTCGGCTGTGCCCCCCAGCAGCTGTCTGGGGCCCAAGGGCACGGTGGACACAGAGCTGGTCTGTCTAGAATGTGGAGGGGGGGGTGACCGACTTGCTGGAGTAACAGGGAGTCAGAAGCACCCACTGGGACAGGCCCTGGAACGGTGGGGCTCCCCCCACCCCCCACAGCTCCCTGGGCTGGAGGAGGGGCAGCGTCACTCCATTTGCTGTCATCAGAGGCATCGCCCAAGTGGGGGTCGGGGGCTGCTCCCGAGAGGACACCAGGCAGGGCACTGTCCCCGCAGCCTCTGAGGGACACACTGGCCAGCTGGCAGAGTGGCCGGGACAGGCAGGGGGCGTGAGCTGGGTGGGCCTGAGCCTGAGGGACGCGGCTGCAGACACACGGGCGCAGCTCACACGCCCCTATGAGAGCTCCTGCGAGCACCTCCCTCCCAGGCCTCTCCAGCCGCCCTCACAGTGGAGGGGCCTTCATGCACTGCCACCCGAGAAGCCCAGAATGTTCCAAGATTGCTTGGGTTGTTTCCTCCACCAAAAGACTCTCCTGCCTGTGCCCCACCCCCCAGCAGGAAAGCCTGACGCTCATGATGAGCCCTCCCACCTGGTAACACCCCACCCAGGGTGGCCTGGGCCACCCCAGCACCCACTCCCCGCTTGGCCTCCCACACCGCACACGTGAACACCACATGCAGGCAGCAGGCAGGCAAGGCAGGGGCACTGGCCAATGCACACAGCAGGCCACAGGCCTGGATTCACCCTGAGCCCCGAATTGGCAGGAGCCAAAGGCCAAGTCCTCTGGGCACCTGACTCTGATGATGGAGCAGCCCCTGCAGGGGGCCCTGGCAGGCACACAGGTGCACACTCAGGTGCACACACACGCAGGTGCACACACACGCAGGTGCACGCAGGCAGCAGGGCCCTGCATCAGCTCTTCTTCCTTCCTTTACAAGACGAAGTTCTACATCAAAGGCTTCATCTCGCTCGGGGCCCGAGGGACTGTGTGCCCCGTGAGGACTGATGTCAGCTGGGCAGAGGGTCTGCATGTGAAGTCAGCCACCAGCTGGAGGGTGACCCCAGGAACCTCAGGAGCCCCAGAGCCACAGGAAGGTCTATCCACCCGCGGCCACCTGGCTCTTGCCAACCTGAGGCACATCAGCCCGCGCACGTGGCCTTTTCCGGCAACATCCACCTGAGGGACCACTCACTATAGTGAGTGGAAAACCCACTCCCCGGTGGCCTCGGCTGGCTCGATGGCTCACAGAGCCTGCTGCAAAGTGGGACGCAGGAAGCGGCTGTGTGCACGAGCCTCCTTTTACGGGTGAGGAAACCGAGGCCCAGGGAGAGCCCAGCAAGAGTGCAGCGCGCACAGGCCAGACCCCTCAGCCCTGCCCCCACGAGCCAGGGGGGTTTTAGCCCGTGGCCCTGGGGTCCCCGCCTGCCCAGAGGCCGATTCCCATCCTGCCCTGTGTGTGGGAACCCCCGGAGTGTGCTCCCCAGTATGGACGTCAAGAGAGCCCCGGACAGAAGCCAGACAACCAGCTCCAGGGACTGTTCCCGATTTCCAGCAAAGGACCCCACACTGTCCTGTTCTATGACCTCATCCTCGAAACAAGAGCGGAATTCACGGCCCCTCGGCATGAGAACAGGATGTCCCCCACCCTTAAGCCTCTCTCCACAACAAGGCAGCCCCTCTTTCAGAGCATGCCACCGCCCCCCGCCCCTGCCGAGGGGATCCTGCCACCCAGCTCAGGGGCTGCCGCCTGAGGCTGCCTCTCCCCGACATCCTGACCCCCCTAAGGGGAGCACCGCATGCACCATCTTTCCCAGGCTGCCCAGAATGGGGAGCCAAGCTCCAGGACTAGGGGGCGACCCGTGTTCTTATGGGTCCATTCCCCAGCTCTAGGGGGTTGACAGCAACCACGACAAGACAGGGGCGGCTGGAGTTCTGTGCAGGGTGGCCCAGGTTCTAGCGCCGGCCCCGGAGCCGTGTCCTCCCCTAGTCCTGCTGCCAGGCCCCGGCCCGGACGCCCTGCCCAGGCGGCCCCGGCGCGGCCCACCTTGACGTGGTAGTGGGCGTCCAGCAGGATGTTGGCGGGCTTGAGGTCCAGGTGCAGGAGCGGCGGGGACATGCAGTGCAGGAAGTTCATGCCCACGGCCGTCTCGTGCACGATGCGCACGCGCAGGTCCCAGGGCAGCGGCTCCGAGGCCAGCAGCTTCTCCAGCGAGCCGGTCTCCATGAACTCCATGACCAGGCCCACGGGGTCCTGGCAGATGCCGTAGACTGGCAGCACGTACCGGAACTTGGCCATCTCCATCTTCTTGGCTTCCTCCAACAGCTCCATGCGCTCCCTGGAAGACAGCAGGGTGTGGGGTGAGCGCGAGGGGCCTGACGCCAGCACAGAGCCCCCACGGAGCCGCAGCCCGCACTGCAGAGACGACTGACACGCGTGCTGCCGCCGTGCACACCAGAGCCCAGGCCCAGCGAGCGGGTCACGGTGCCGTGCAGGCCCTGCGGGCAGGGAGGCTGGGGGGCGGCTGCTGAGCCTGCTTTTGCGGTGTCCCTGAGGGGCCGATGCTCGCTCCCTGTCTGCAGACGAGGAGGCGTTCAAGGCCTATTAAAAGCAGCCCGGATATCCCGCTGAAGAGCCGACCCACCGCCCAGCACGCCCCAATCCAAGCCCGCTGGGAACGGGACGGGCCCCAGGATCGGGGGCTGCAGGCTCTGCCCAGCGCCCCGGCCGGCCACCTGGAACGTGCACTGCAGTGGACGTGACTGTGATAGGGGCCACCCTCGCGCTGCCCAGCATGGGCGTCAGCAGCACCGCCACGGGGCGGTGTCCCCCACCGTCTCCACCCACAAACCCTGTACCCGCCCCCGGACCTCAGTCCAGTAGCCCGACACAAGCCCCTCCCACCAGGGGGTCCACGCTGGTCCCGCGAGACCGGCTTCCTCCACACCACGCAGTCTGCAGAGCCCTCCCGGGCAGCGGCCGCCAGCAACGCTGCCCCTCTCCAGGGGAGTCGGAGGCCACGGTTTGAAGGGATAACGTTTCGCGATCCGCGCGTCCATCAATGGACACGGGGCTGTGCCCACCCTCTGGCTGTGGGAACACCGGTTCCCACACAGGCACCTGCCGCAGCCCCCACTTTCAGCCCTCAAGGATCCCACGCCCAGGGTGGGCTGTGGGCTGGGTGGCAGCTCTGCTTAACCTCGTGGGAAGCTGCAGACCAGCTGCGGCCTAGGCCGCTGTCTATAATTGTGGGCCGTGGGAGGTCTCACGGCTTGTGGACACACTGGTCAGGGCTGCTCTCTCCGCAGGGCAGACACCAGCAGCTGCGACCCAGGCCCCACGGAGCCCACACATACGCTCTCTGGCCCTCGCAGAAAGTGTGCCAGCCCTAGCCAGGGGCACCTCCTGTGCAGCCCGTGCACAGGGACCACGTTTCTCCATGAACCAGACAAGGACCCCAGAGCCCGGTCTGTGCCAATCTCATGAGACAAACTCCCAGTGAGCTGGGGAGGAAGGACCAGGACAGGCTTGGCCACACGAGCCTCGGGGAGCCGCTCTCCCACACAGACACGGGGCCAGCTGACACGCAGACCCCCAGGCTTTACTCTGGAAGATGGGTGCCAGGCAATCTAACAAGCTCCTAAAGGAAGCTTCCAGAACCACAGGCCCAGACCGATCAGAGCTGGCACCAGGCAGCCTCCGCAGCGGCACACAGCTGTGCAGGCAGCAGGGCGGGCGGCCCAGGGCCTCCTGCCACCAGCACCTGCCTGCCCGGTGCCCGGACGACACCCACTTCCCTGCAGGATCTGAAATGGAGCCAGGGACAGGCCCCTGGCGTCCTGGACCCCACCTGCTTGCTTGTGGCCTCTGCGCAGCTAGAACATGCCTCCCAGAGACCAAGGCGGCTGGCCAGGAGGCCCCGGCACTGTCACCAAAGTTCAGACCCTGGGCCACCCTGCTCCTGGGGAAGCATCTGCAGGCTCCAGGCTCGAGGGGGCCACGGCCTCGCGCTGTCTCGCCCTGCAGCTGGCGCCAGCCTGCTCTGCAGCAGTAAAGGCCCCGTCAGATGGAGCAAATGCTTTTCAACCAGATGCAAGAGAAGCTACTAGGCTGGGACAGCTGGTGTCCGTACTCCTCAGTCACTTTCATTTTAATTCATTTCTAGTTAAAGTCCCCTTCCTGACCAGCACCCCGAGCGGCTTCCACACACAACAGGGGCGATAGGAGCCCCGTCCCTGCCTTCACAAGATCGTGCAATCACACCAAAGGGAAGTGCAGCCGAACCCCAAGTGCTGTACAGGGAAGGGTGGGGCCCTAAGGAGAGTGGGGAGCAGGCCACAGCGGGTGCACAGGAGCCTGAGGGAGGACAGCAGGCCCCAGGCCGCATCTGGAGGGGAATCAAAGGACTGAGTGACCCACCCCGAGTCTCCACAGGCCCAGGACACCTGCCCGCTCGCCCGCTCGAGTCTCAGGCGGGCCCCCCATGAAGCAGGTGCTTCGGAGCCCTTCGGGAGACGGACACCCATGCTCGCGGGGGGCTGTGGGGCCCCTGGGCCCTCCGTTGGGGAGGCTCCATGAGGCACATTTGGTCCCTGGCCCTGGATCACAGGGAGGCAGACCCCAGGGGGCGCCCCAGCCTGCACTGGCCTCAAGGCATGTGAAGAAGAGGGACGGGCTGGAGGCCAAGGTCAAGCACCCCTTAAAATCAAGCTGGTGATGGAAGCAGGAAGCAAAAGCCACCGGGTTCGTCTCCCTCCTCCTCCTGGACAGCCGTGTGAGTCCTCAGTGCAGCTGTCTGCGCCCCTCATGCCCGAGCCTCAGGGGCTGCGGCCAGCTGCCCGGCCGTCCCAGCGTGCTAAGACCCAGGTTTGTCTGCTCCTGGGCTTCTAGCTCCTTTACAGTGGCCGCTCGCCAGCCCTCCTCAACGGGCTCGTGCACACAGGGTGGTGGGCGTCCGAGACGCAGAGACCCAGGGCCGGCCTGCAAGGGCAGCAGCGCACCCCACCCTCCCCCACCCCGCCTGGGCTGGCCAAGGCCTGGGGGCTCTTCCCCTCCCAGAGACATTCCGCAGGGAGATCCGCTGCCGTCCGGAGAACAGTCAGCCACCTGGAGGAGCCCGGGGATCTGGAAAAGTGGAAGATGTGGCCACTCGGCAGGCGCTTGCCTCCGTGTGCCCAGAGGGCTTCACACATCAAACCTGCTGCCAGGTGTCCAGGTCATGAGCGGCTCCCACCAGCCACTGCGCTGTCCCTCCTCCGTCCCTGTCACCCCCACCTCGGGTTCAGCCAGCCAGTGTGCTGCACCCCCCATCACGGGCCTTTGTGCAAACAGGCCCCGGGGTCCGAGTCAAAGCCACGGCCGGTGAGCCCACCCAGGCCAGGCGGAGCCGCACAGATGACCACATCCCACCACACCTCAGGGCTGCGTGCAGAGCCAGCTCTCCAGGAAGGTAAGTCCCTGCTTCCCGGGACAGAGCGGCCTCGGGCGCTGCGGGCAGGAGCCCGCCCACCCCCGCCCCTCCCTGGGGATGGCCCAGGCCCAGGGAACGGGGTGGTGGGGCCCCAGCTTGCCAGCCTTCTGGTCTGAAGAGGCAACACAAACACCCTCAACTCTGGGGTTATCCAGTCACCCCCAAGCTTGATTCCAAGTGACCCCCACCAGACTCGGCCTCCACCTGCAGTAGACACTGTGGCCAGGCAGTTCAAGCACTTTCCTCTCGTTTCCGAGATGGCGCCTGCAATTCAAGGAGGCTGGCGGGGCCCTGGGGAGGGCGCTGAGGAGAAGCGCCCCCGAGGGCCAGGCTGGCAGCGCCTGGCTCGTGTCTGGTCTCATGTCCCCGACGTTTTTGGTTAAACGCCTTCCTGGGAGCAGCATGTGTGGTCTGTGGGCGCGGTGGGGGGCACCCGCAGGCCTGTTCCTATAGGGCTTGCCACGGGGGCTGCGAGCCGAGTGAGGTCACAGGAACCCCGCAAACAGGAGCGAGGGTCCGGTCAATGCCAGACTCCCCAAAGGCCCCGAGGGTGAGCTTTCTGGAAGCATCTGCCTTGGAAAGGGGGCGCGCAGGGGTGGGGCTGGAAGGCACTCAGCTGCAGGAGGGGTGGGGCGCGGCGGTAACAGGGCCTCACAGGAGGCTGGAAGCACCTCTGGGAAAAGCAGTAGGAAGATGTTTAATCATTGGTGAGCCGAAGCCTCTCGCCGCCAATCCCGAGCCGTTCCCAGGCCTCGGAGGGTTCCCACACTGCTAGTTTTAAAACCAACAAGAATCGGGCTTGTCCGAGTGTCAGCGCCGTCGCTGCAAACCCGGGGTGTGCTCAGGCTCGCCCTGACTAGCTGCTGCCACGCTGGCATCTGCACTGGGCCCGGCGCCCGCCGCTCTGTTCACAGCTATTCCCCGGTGGGGGCTGGAGGGGCGGTGCCTCTGGGGTCACTTTGTTCTCACCTGAAGGGTAACAAGGGTCAGCCAGGGAGGCCATGAGACAAGCCGCTGGAGGTGGAAAAGGCAGCTTGTGGGCACCACTGGGCACTGCCCAGGCGCCTCCGAAGTCCCCTTGCTGGACTCTCAAGGTCCCTCAACGGGCCATTGGGGCCGAGCGGCCCCCCACCAGCACAGAAGCCGCAGACACATGGCCTGGAGCTGCCTGCTGCCCCTGGAGCCCAGGGTGGGTGCTGGGGCCCAGGCCTGCTGGGGTCGGGAGACCCTGGCCAGACTTTGAAGGACAAGCAGCTTGGGTAAAGCAGCCCGCCCTGTGCACAGGAGGGGCCACAAAGGAGGTCGATGGCCCTGGGAAGGCAAGACTCAGCCCCCACACCACTGGGGCAAGAGGAGGAGTCCCCTAAACCGATGAGTGGACACTCGGAGGGGTAACGGGAGCCCCAGCGAAGGCCTAGTCCCCACTAAAGGCAGCACTTTGTAAAGGGAGGTGGGGACTGGAGGCAGCTCATCCAAGAGTGCTGGGCCCGACCTGCCCAAGTCGGCAGGACGGTGTCCCAGCCACGAGCCCAGGGTCGAGGAGACGCAGCGGGTGGCAGCCCTGCAAGGCAGTAGCGCACCGCGGCTGCCGGCCAGTTCCCACCAGGCCTGAGCCCAGGGTCAATAATTAACCCGCAGGAGTTCTCCCACGGAGCAGGTCAGGAGCAGGGCTGACCGCGTCCGTCAGACCCCTTCTCACGTGGAGCAGGGCTGACCGCTTCCGACAGGCCCCCTGTGCAGACCGCCAGGCCGCCCCCCGCCGCTCCAGGGCAGGAGGCGAGGAGCTTCCGGCTGGGCGATGCTGGCCTCGACCGCGCCGCCCGGGACATGCCACCACCTGCCTGGCGCGGGCAGGGCCGGAAAGGCTTCCAGTTAGAGGACAAAACACTTTTCAACCAGGCGATGCCGGATCCTAAGTGACCCGCCTGGAGTGGAGAAACCACCTCCAACTGGGTCATCCCAGACACGAGGGACCGGTCGCCGTAAATAACAGATTCCGAGCACGCAGGCCGTGAGTCAGCCGGGGAGCGTGTTTACTCTGCTCTGCCAAGACGAGAAACTGGAGCAAAACCTCCGCCAGGGAACATGCTCCTTTCAACCAGAAGCCGCCACCAGACAGAGTCCAACGGGCATAACAGTCGCCCCCACCCCGGGTCTGGCCTTGAGGATGGAAGCAAGGGCTGCGCCCGGAGGTCTGCGTGTCAGCAAAATAACCACAGCGCCCCTCGCGGCCAGGGACGCTCCCGGGCCCAGCCAGGGAGGGGGCAGGATCCCGGCCTCCCCTCGGAGTCAGTGGCCTCTCCAGCGGCACCTCCAGCGAAAAGCCACCAGGGCTTGCCCCACAGCAAGATCTCCCAGGCCTCGCGGCTACTGCAGGCGGCAGCACACGCTGCGTCCAGGTGCCGGCAGGGGACACTGGCCACGGCGTCCACCAGGGGACACTGAACTGGGCTTAGGAGCCAAAAAGCGGAGCCAGCAAGGCCGGGTGGGGTTAAAGGCGCCCTGTCCCGCTGGGGGTGTGTCCAGTGTCCAGCACCCAGGCTGGGGAGGCGGCCACACAGCACAGCCGCCTCCGCAGAGGCCCAAGTCCACTAGAGGAGTCCAACGTGCTCCCTGAGGCTTAAAACCCAGCCATGAAAGGCGGAGGGGGGAGAGCTGCGGCTCCCCATCCGCTCCCCACCCCACGCCGGCCACACCCCAGGCCCCGAGGTCCAGGAGCCTGCGCTGCGCTGCTCCGGAGGCGCAGCAGGATTCCTGCGGCTTAGACCGGACAGTGGGGCGCAGAGGCCCGCCGGCACGACCACCCCGCGGAACGCGGCGAGGCTCCTCCCAGAGGCCCGGCCTAGACATGAGGTCACCGGAGCGAGGCCGGGAGGAAGCGCCGGGCACACGGGCCCGCCGGGGACCCGCCTGGGGGCCCGCCGGGGACCCGCCTGGGGACCCGCTGGGGACCCGCTGGGGACCCGCAGCGCGGACGCGCCAACGTCGGCGCAAGGCGAGCCGGGCCGGGCCGGGCCGGGCCGGTGCTTCCGACCGAAATAATTACCGTCTTACAGCAATTTGTGCCTCGCCGTAAATTACTAAGTAACCCGAAGGGAGCCTCCCCGCTCACAAAGCCGGGATCCGGGCCTGGCAATCTCCCCAAGCCGCGCAGACCGCAGCGCGCAGGTGGGGCCCGGCGCCGGGCGCACCCCCGGGTCCCCCCGCCTCGCGGGCCCCGCGACGCCGCCGGCCTCTCCCCCCCCCCGCGCCCCGCGCCCCGCGCCCCGCCAGCGCCCTCGGAGCCGGAGCCCGGCCCCGGCCCCGGCCTCGCCGGCCCCCGCGCCCCGCCCGCGGGGCTCGCGGCCCGCCCGGCGTCCGCCCCCCGCGCTCCCGGGGCGCCGCTGGGGGACGGGGCGAACCCCACGACCGCGGACCCCCGCCCGGGCCCGCCCGCCGCTCACCTGTCGTCGACGTGCAGGCTGGGCGAGCACTTGATGGCGAGCCAGGTCTTCCAGTGGACGTGGCGCACCTTGTACACCTGCCCGAAGCCGCCCGAGCCCACCTTCTCCCAGCCCGCGAACTCGGCCGCGTCGAAGGTGCGCAGCAGCCCCAGCGCCCACGGGCTCCCGCTCGCGCCCGCCATCGCGCCGCCGCCGCCCCGCGCCCCGCGCCCCGCGCCCGCGCCCGCCCCGCGCCAGGTGCCCAGGTGCGCGCCCCGCCCGCCGACGTCACGTCCGCCCGGCGCCCCGCCCCGGCCCGCCCCGCCCCGGCGCCGGACCCCGGGACGCCGGCCCCGCCGCGGGGCGCCCCCCCCCGCGGCCCCGCGCGCCCCCCGCGGCCCGAGCGCCCCGGCCCCCCGCGGGACGGCCGCGCCCCGGAGGGCGCCGGGGGCGCACAACCACCCGCCCTGCCCGGCCCCCCGCGACCGGCCTCGCTCGCCCGCGACTGCCGGGCTGCCCCGACGCCGTCGCCCCCAGGCAGGCGGAGGAGACCCGCGCCCCCAGGCCCCGGGGGGCTCCCGCGCCCCCGCGCCCCGCGCCCACAGTGCGGCGTTGGTAAGCGCGGGGCGCGCTCGGGACCCGCGGGGGCCGCCCCTCTCCCCCGGCCCCGACCCCGGAGTCGCCTCTTCACACCCAAGTTTCCTCTTAGAAAGTAACTTTTTCTAAAAATCACCCCAAGGACAGTCAAGTGTGTTCCGAAGACGCGCGCCCGGCCCCTCCCCCAGAGCACCTTTTCCCACAGAGGGCTTGAAAGGGGAGATGTTTCTCCACCTTTAGGGGAAAAAAATTCCCCGTGAGCCCCGATGAGCTCATCTCCTGGAAGGAGATCCGGGCAGAGGTCAGTGTGATTTGCAAACTTCCACCCCTGAACCACGCTCACCCGCGCCCCGAGCTGCAGGGGCGCAGGCCTTTCCTTGGCCGAGTGAGGTGAATGCGGGACAGGCTGGGGGAGAGAAAGGGCTTTTTAACGATGTTAACTGTGTTTTTGTCTTAGTCCCCCCAAAAGGAGAGGCTGACCCCTGCCCGGTTATGGGAGCCTCGGACTGAGCTGCCCTGGCGCTTCCTTCCCCTGGCACCCCATCATCTCCGGGACAGCCAGCACCTGAGAGAGCTTCCACCTTGTCTCCCACCTGCCTCCCCTCCCGCCCGGGGTTGTTCTTGGGGAACACCCCAAGGGACCCTGCTGGTCTCCTGCTGCCCCCGAGCAGCCCAGGCAGCCATATCCTCCCCCACATTACCTGGACATGAGAAGCGGCCTCCTGAGCTGCCCGGAGACGGTGTGCCAAGCGCATTTGCAGCGAATGAAGCTAACTTTTAAACTTGGGTTCTAGCAATAACCAGGAGGGGAAAGGGGTCCTCCAAAGGGGGGAGCCGGGGTGAGAGCCGAGAGGAAGCACAAGAGGCAGGTGCCGCGTTAACCCGTGTAGGCTGTGCCAGGGAGGAACAGGTGCACGAGGTGTGAAGACTTTAAGCAGAGGCTGAAAGCGGAGTCCGGTGGGGGCGGCCCCTCCAGGCCCAAGGACCTGGGGTTTGCTGGGCGGGGAGGGTGGCGGGCACAGCAGGCACAGCTGGGCCAAGGAGGCCGGGAGAGCCTCTCAGTAGAATAACGTTCACGGAGCACCCATTAAAAATAATTGGGGTTCGAATGTATGAAGATAACTTGAAAGTAAACATAATTATTATGGGGGAAAAAACCGAATTGACTCAAAAAAATGAGTCATTCGTGCTGTTTCCGGGATTTACCTTTCTCTGGATTCCCTGCAGAAGCTCCCATCTCACCTGTGTGGAGCCGGCAGCCATAGGTGACTAACAGCCACACCAGGCTAGCAATAAAACACATCAATTTCATTTATTTAATCATCAGCTTGTTTCACTCAACAAATATTTATAGAGTGTCTGTTGCAGACTCAGCCCACAGAGGCCAGTCCCCAACAGCGAGGGACGAGGACAGAGATGGTGGCCAGGGCTGGGGACCGACTGGCCCTCCTCTGCCACGGCTGCATCCGCTCAGCCCACGCCAGGCCCAGTTTGTAACGTGTCCAAGCAAACAAAGTCCCTTGTAGGAATTGTGGATGCGGCTGGACCCGCGCTCTGGCCCAGAGCAGAGCCCGGCTCACGGCCCGGCAGGCCAGGCGGGGCAGCGCCCACGGACAGAGCAGCCCGCCGCCTCGACCGCCCGAAGGTGACTTAGCCTCCTTGCTTCTGTCACGCGAGGGGAGAGGCCTTCGTGGCTGTTCCATAACCACCTGAGAAAGGCAGAGGCAATTCAGATGTGAAAGACACCTGGCTGGTTTTGAGAGAGAAAACTTGCTGTTACCTTGAGATACGGCACTAAAGTATCTGAAGAGACAGACTCAGGTTGCTATGAAAATATTTAACACAAAGGTAACAGCAAATCGTGTGACACAGATTCCGAACGACACAGCGGCCGAGGCACAAAGTATGGCGTATGGCGAGCTCTCATCTTTTTTTTTTTTAAATCATTGACTTGCACACTTTATTTTTTTTTATTTAAACACTTTTTATTTTTTTAAAGATTTGTTTATTTATTTACACAAGCACTGGGAACAGTCAGAAGCGCGGGAGGGTGAGAGAACTCACCAGGGCCAGAGCGGGGAGCAGAGCAGGCAGAAGGACTGAAGTACACTGCTGAGGGGAGCAGCGGGTGGCAGGAGAGGTCTGCGCGCCATGTGGGACCCTCCTCCGGTGGCTGGGGAGCAGCCGGGGATCAAACCGGCGCCGCAGAGGCCGCGGGCAGCTTCACAACCCAGCGCTCAACCGCTGGCCACTGGGGAGGCCCCTTGAGCTCTCATCTTTGAACTGTGGATGTTTCATCCATTGTACGTTTTAAATAATTTAACTCCTCACACGCTACTTCCGTGTGCAATTACAAATAGGACACGTTTAAAACTTTTATGTGAGTTTTAAAACACAGTCAATCCTACTAAACATTAAATAAGACCGAATGCAGAGTAAATTGCATTTTCCATCTTAATGAACTGAAGCAACATTTTTCATAAACCGAAAGCTTATCTATAATTCTATAAACATTCCTATGCTGTGCAGTGATCAAACCCAATAGTCCATACGCGTGAACACCTTTAACCGCGGGAAAGAGTCACTTGAAACACATTTTGGTAAACATTAAAGTGGACCCATTTAAGGAAAAATACAGCTGCTCCATCTAAACCATATTGCTGCAGGAACACCACTTTCTCCGCTGAGATCCTGCCTTTATTCATTCAGGAAAAGTGACTTGGGAGCACAGGGCGCCAGATCGATTCCCCGCAAGGAGCTCTCCAGCCACCCCAGGGGTCGGGGCCGGAGGAGCTGGGCAGGCTGCCTCCCAATTTCCAGCTTTTGTCCAGCAAGTCATTTCTTTGCACACCAATCTGCCTGTCCAGAGACCTCCGCCTGGAGCCCCAGCAGGCCCCTCTGTCTCCCTGTAAGGCCAGGGCCCTCACCTGGGGACACACCTGCGGGGGCTCCGGGTCTGAGCCAGGACTGGGCCGACACACCAGCGACAGCGCTACCTGCTCCGCTCCCCGCTGCCCCTCGGCCCGGCCTGTAAGCATGAGGGTCCTCCAGGCCCTGACCCAGGGCCCCTGGCCCTCCAAGTGGTCTCAGCCAGGCCACCACCTCAGTTCCGGCCTCAACCCAGAGTCCCCCAGCCGGGCCTCTCCTCGGAGTGCCAGACTCCGGATTCGACGTGGCGCCGGAGCCGCTGCAGGAGCGAGGGGAGCCCGTGATTTTCTTTCTTTCTTTCTTTCTTTCTTTCTTTCTTTCTTTTAAAAAAAGATTTATTTACATGTACAAGAACTGGGGTACAGGCCAGAGGTGCAGGGGGTGAGAGGATTCCCCCCAAACAGAGCGGGGAATAGAACAAGAGGATTGACTGAAATCCACTGCTGAGGGGAGCAGCGGGGAGTCAGGAGAGGTCTGCTGCGCCCTGTGGGGAGCTCCCTGGCCGGGGATCCAACTTGTGCTGCAGAGGCTGCGGACAGCTTCATAGGTTGCATCTAACCCCTTGCACCACCAGGGAGGCCCAGGGAGCCTGTGGTTTTCACCGGAGAAGGCTCAGAGGTACGTGGTGCCTGGGCATCCTCCATCCTGGAAGACCAGTCCCTCAATGCCGAGCCCCCTGGACAAGAGCCCACCCGGCCCTCGCCACAAAGGGCCCAGCCTGGCCTCACTGGGGCGGCCGTGTCTGCACAGGCCCAGGAGTGCCCACCCCGCTGGAGCCAGCTCTAGGGGCTGGGGTGCCCTCTAGCCTCTGCGGAGCCCCTCCTTCAGGGGTGACCCACTGCTGGTGTGAGCACCCCAGGCCTAGTGGGGGCGCTGTTTGCAGGGCCCTGAGTGGAGCTGGTGGGGCTGGGAGATCCCCCCAAAGCTGAGGTGGAGAGAAGGTTCGGATCTGAAAGCCCAGCAGGTGAGATGCCCGGCAGGGGCCGCCCGCTGAGCTGACACCTACTCGCTGGATTTAGAACTTCAGTAGCTCAGACCCGTGGCTGCGTGGCCTCAGCGTGAGGCTTCTGGCCCAGGAAATCAGCGCAGTCCAACCCCGCCCCGCCCGCCCCCCACATGAGCTCTCGCTCCCTAAACCTCTTGCTGGAACTCCCGCTCCCACGCCAGACCGACCGAGGTCACCACCGCTTCCCACCTGCCTCACCGCAGCCCCTCCGTCCACTCCCCAGGCCGCAGCCCCACCTGCCGGCAAGCGGGGCCACCTCCCCAGGCCAGAAATGGGCGCTTCCCGCCGCCGTGGCCCCCCGGCTTTCCACCCCCACCCCGTTCCAGGCCAGCCCAGGCACCGCAGGGCCTTTGCACAAGCTGCCAGGTCTGTGTGGACGCTCAGCCGCTGATGCCAGCCGTGCTCCCACTCGCGGCGCGAGCGTCTCCCTCCACCCGCCGCCCAGACTCGGTCACATTCCTCCGCAAGGGCTCACGGGCGTGTGGCTCGATGTGTCACCGTGTTTATTGGGGGGCTGCTGATGAACACCTGGCTTCCCCCAGCTCTGGGCCCCGGGCCAGGGAGGCCTCGGCCTCTGCCCTGGAGGAGACACTGTAAGCCCCTGCCCCTGCCCATCCAAGTCATCACTGACGCCGCCCTGCACCCCCCCCACACCTCACCTCCCACACTGGC